AAATATATGTGCAGATATAAAAACAGTTAAGTCCATCATTCACAAAAGCATTGCAGAACGGTAAAGGTTACTCCTAATATACAACTATTGCTTAAAATATGAATGTTTCCCCTGTAGCGGTGTGTCAGTGATGACACTACCGCAGACCAATTGGACTTTGTTACCCATCGCACAGTCGGCAGTGCAAATTATTTCGAATTATATGACCACATTTTACATCGCACTTTTATCATTTAATTTTCCGGTTGTTACCGGGGTCAGAAGCTTCTTAATGGTAGAACTCTTTGACTAATACTAAACAGGTTACATTTACAAGCTCTTACGTGCTACAAACTCCAACATCCAAGTTTCAAACCACACAAGAAATTTTCCGAAAATGACCTGGAGCCTCTGAAACGTAAAAAAAAACGAAGTTTACGCTTTTTCTTCAGTCTTTTTTCCCCTCGCCCCGAAACCGTAGCACCGATTTTTGACAACTACAAAGCTTATTCACCCTTGGCATAGTAGTTACCTTTTGTGAAAATTTTATCAATATCCGAGCGGTACTTCTCACGTGATATGCGGGCAGACCGATTCAGCGTCAGACAGACAGACCGACATGTTTTTCCGTGATGTGCATCTCATACAACATCCAAGAACATAATGTCTCAATTTCGAAATTTTTCGGGATTACAATACTTCCTCGCCAGTTTTGGAATAGTAAGTTAAACTTTAAAAGCGCGGTTTTTTCTAATAGTGGTCCTTAACGCTAATAGTCATTTTTGCCACTGGCAGTAGTAAAACGAGCGCCAAATTCCCGTAACTTTTAAAATCCCCAGAAAATAAAAGAATTCTACGGACGGAGCCTAACAAAACATTTCAGCTGAAATAAGCGGACTTTAAGAGTTCGGAGTTTAAACAAACTCGCCGCTTTTTCACATTCAAGTAACTTTATAAGTAATCACAGATTCAGGTAGAGGATGAAATATTCAGTAAATTCTTCTGGAAAAGTTGCGGAAACGTTGGAAATTCCAAGGGGAAATGTATTTAGTAATTAAATTCAGAAAGCCTAATTTAGAATGATAATATTGTTTTATGGGTTTTAATCATTGTAACAAAGTAGTAGGTACGTAGATATTCTGAATGATGGGAGCCAGTTATTTGATATGATTTCGACGGGAGTCATGGAGATACATAGATTCGCCTAAAGGCAATTTGCGTCAAGTAGGTTGACTCTCAACTTCTTACACAACCCCATCATAAATGACTATATTCAGCACAAGTAAGTCCCTCTAAGGAAAAATCTGCCAACGAACAGGCTCATACAATTGGTCCAATGTCCCCACAGATTTGACAACATTTCGACATAGTTTACCACCCCACAGACAGCACCGACAACTTCATATTGAAAAAAGCTTATGAAATGAGGATCTGATAGTGCAAAAATGTACAGGGTTTACCATTTAAATTTTTCTCTTTTCTTCCTCAATTAATCATTTAAAGACTTCAAAAATGAATGAATTAGATTGAAATTGAATAGAATATGAAATGTTTGGCACAAAATTCACGACTTCACCTGTCAACTTAGCAGTATGCAGACTATACTATACGATATATAAATATATAATACAACTTCAATATTTTTTTATATGAAATAGCCGTTTATTCAACAAATAAACAAAATTCAGAGGTAAGTGTTTTCTAAGTTGTGTTTTTTTAAAGAGCCTATCCCGAATGAGTGACAAAAAGTAGGACATCCCGTTTAAGAAAAATCAGCTATGTGGGTTAAAATGAATATTTCAGAAATATGCCTCCAGATACCATATAATATAATAATCCATAAACAGTTCGTTTAGTAGCAGTACTTCATCCTCTCACGATTATGACACCCTCTGTAGTATCTGAATCAACTTTCTTAAGTTATGGTAGGTTTACTATTGATGGACTATGGAAATCCTTATAGATGGTCATGTAATAATGTAGTGAATGTGAATAAATTATAGTATCTTGGTAGTCACAGCTGATACATTACTCAGGCATCGTTGATCTTTTCTCAACCATACAGTTAGAGGTACCTGCCTAAAGGATTCCATAATTTTTAATTAATAAAAAACATTAAAAGTTACGAACTGACTTCAAAATTAAAATAAGTGTTGAGATGTTCTATTTAATTTCAATGGAAAATGACACGAGTAATGTAATCAGCTGGAGAGCTAATGTAATCAAGTAAGTTGACTGTATTTCCCACGCTCCGATGTCATCATTTCGTAAAAGACTTTGTTTGGCATAATTACCCTTCTAAGAAAAAAGTTAGCCACGGACATGTAAAGCAAAAAGTTAAATGACCTTCTTCCTCCCTCTGAGACGAAGATAAAGATAATAAAGAGGTCTATTCGAACATTTAATTTAATATTTTGTTGTCATTATGATTAGGATTATTTATTTCAATTTTCATGCGACTTAGTGTTTTAATTTATTTTAGAACTATCTTTTATTTCCACCGATGGTGATAAAATCAACACATTCTGAGTTATTGTTACATTTTGCGGTAAGCTGATTCGACACAATTCACAATTCAAAAATGTGTACGCTCAAAACAAAAACATTATTTGGGCGTAAATAATAAACTAACGCATATTTTCACTATACATAAATCATAATTCAAGGAAGTGGTGTAACATATTGGCAAAGCGGCAGATTGCCGCGTCAGCGTTGCTAGGCAACGCGGTGATGAGCTTCGCTATTCAGGCGGCTTCTGTTTCTTTCTCGCATAAGTACATGTCTATACACACTTCTCTCTCGTACGCATTGAACACGTTTTTCCGTGCTTTATAGGTTTATTAATATAACCAAATATTTATGTTGGCAACTCGTTCGAAATTCAGTTGCTGCACAGTGTGCACTATAGTAGAATACCAAAATTGATGACAGTAGCGAAACTCATCGTACGCCACTGCTATTAAGCGGAAGCCGTCGAAAATGCGGCGCTTCTTTGTGAAATGACGGTAAGTAAACGTCGCTGTAATCAAAGGGTACAGCGTCAAAGCAGTGGCGCACGATGACTTCTGCTACTGTCATCAATTCTGGTAATTGACTATAGTTCGATCGAACAACTCTTATGAATTGACTAGTTCATCATTTCTTGAAACACTCGTTCGCTACGAAGCAAACTAGTAAAGTTGTGAGTGAACGAACGAGATAGGAGAAATAAGATGGAACACAACCGTAAATAGAAGATTGTATAGCTGGTTGCCTGTTGCCTGGAAGTTATGAAAAAAGATGAAATATGCTGTTAGTTATACAGGCTGTTTCAGAACTAAGGGATCAAACTTCTAGGGGTTACTCAGTGTAACAGTAGAAAACATTTGAGTATACGAACCCATATCCGGAAAAGTGTCACTATGCACTACGGCCCTAAGACGCGTTAAAATTTAGAAAGACGATGAGTTGCCTAAATAGGATGTAATGCATTTAATTTTTGCCTTTTGTGCATGATATCATCACAACAATTGTTCAAAATGTCTTCCTCCAACCTGAATACACCGATTTAAACGTAGCACATGATTTCGGCGGACTTGACTAAAAATTTAGTACCTACTCGTTTTGAATGATTTCAAATGATGCTGTAATTTGTCCAATTAAGTCTTGCTCTGTTTCTACTGATGTTTAGTAAACCAAAGACTTTACATGTCCCCAGAGGTACGGTGTATTCAGGTTGGAGGAAGACATTTTGAACAATTGTTGTGATGATATCATGTTCAAAAGGCAAAAATTGAGTGCATTGAATCCTATTTAGGCAATTCATTCCACGTTTGCTTGTTATGGTCGCTGTTCGCTGACAGTTTAGCAACACGTACAGCTACAAAACGAGTTCACAACAAGTCTATAACAGCTAGTGTTAAGTTAGCGTCTTGAAAAGAAGAACGACGAAATGTCACTTTTCAAGATACGTAATACCTGTCTGGATGGAAGATTGGTGCGGCTCGTTCATGGACATTTTTCTTAATACGCAGTTATTGGAGGTCCAATAAAGTCAGGAACTAATAATTCCTAGATGTATTTGACATCTGAGTAGGCGCAGTAAAACAAAAATAAAACCTGGAATTAATTAAGTTAGTGCCTGCCACCTGCCACTATTACAGGTCGCTTAAAATCGTAGGGCAGCCAAGACTATTTTCTTCCTTTCTGTGCGAATAACCTTACTTTTCATAGTAGTTTTCGCAGATAAACGAAATTATATACTTACGGAAAGTAGTTTCTTTTGCCATTTTCTCGCTATTATTTTGTACTGTTTGTTGATTGTAAGTTTAATTGGTGAAAATTGTCATGGACCCTTTGGCCGTAACATTCAAATCAAAAAGACTGATATTTACCTCCAACGAGTTGCAAAAGACAAAGAAGTACAAAAACAATAGCATAACATTATAATTTATTGGAACTAAATCTTGTACACTCTTAAACAAGATAAAAGTTTTTTATTTCAATATTTCTAGGTTAGAAATAGTGCACGGCGGAAACACACTCAATAACTCAAATTCTGAAACAATTAAGGTCAGTCTTCAGTTGCCATTATTGTTGTAAGGAGGGTTGTAATAGTGGATGGCAGTATTTCAATAACTCCCTAATAGCTCGTTAGCGAACTAGTTCCTATAACTGGTTCGTTTTAGTGAGCGCGACCTATTGAACTAGTTTACCGAAATGAACTAGAAAGCACATTACTACATTTTTTGTTTCACCCTCACCTGTGCCCCCTCTCCTTGAGTTTAACCTCCTGTCACTAGTCTTCACAGATAACATACATTCAAACAAGGATGAACTTGAACTCTGAAAAATAATGTAGGTGCGGGCATCTAATGGGAGGAGGGTTAGATAAAATTGAGATGGAAGAAATCTTGCAATGAAACTGTAACCCATCAAAACTACGTAAATCAGCTGATACAGTGAAGATGGCGCTGCTCATAGGTTCTCTAGTGAGTTCTGTATTGAATCGTCGGTAGTAAACGTCATGAAGTCTAGAGACAGGAAGTTATACTCCTCATGGAACGGGAGTGAAGCCAAAAGTGTCGACGACGAAGTGAATTAGTGCACTGACCAGCAAATGAGTTTCACATCATACACCATGCTTGTCGACAGAATTGGCTTCATATGAATACGTGTATCCCATACCCAGTTTAACCCCTATCTCTAGTCTTCGTGCATGAACGATATGACGTCTATATGTCTATTTCTTGACAACTGCCTTACATAACCTAAAAAGTTGGATTTATTTTTAATAATATAAATATTTGATATTTGCCGCCAAAATTTTTTATCAATTTTTGGATAGTTTTCATGGTGATAGGTACAGTTTTATTTTGTTATATTTACGACACCTGTGTAAGTTTTATAGTTGGAGTATGCAACACAAAGAAATCAATATTTCTTTAGAATAATTTATTAATTTGTACAAAGTATTCTTCATATCCATATTGCTGTAGAGTGAGGAGGTTGCTTTGTATATGTAGTAGATAGTCCTTAGTGGCTCATTAATGTAACACCTGAAACTTATCCTAACAATAATGTTTGATGGTCATAAATAGTCTACGCTTTTGAGAACATGAAGAATCAGTGGTACAAGTTGTTAGTACCGAATGGTGAATTACAATTAAAAGGGACACTAAATGGAGGTCAGAGCTTCAGGCAAGTATTGTTGAAATAACTTTGTAGTTTGAGATTGGCGATATCGGGTCCTACAATCTACAACAGCACCTTGTTGATCCCGACCCGCGTCACATCGAATTAACAAGTATTGGTAATTGTATTTATTTAGTGTGTAGAATATATCCGTTGTTACTGAACCATCTACCTTCTTCCACAAACACAACCAACTGACACCCTAAAATGAGGTCAAGCAAAAGTTGAGATGTTTTTAAGGTAGCACAGTACTAGTAAAGTAAAACTAGTGCCAACTAAGGCTATGTCCAGTCCTTTGACCACCCTTTTGTCTTTTAACCAAAAAAGGCCAAAGGTTTTGTCTGAAGTCATAATGTTTTGAAAAATCTGTTCTCACAAGAAAAAATATTTTATGCTAGGAGAGTAAAATGCACAGCGTTGGTCAGTGAATTTAAGAAAAGAAACATTTATCAAAAGGAATGTTAACATTTACAATTAAGGGCTTTTAGTCCATTATTCTCCATTGTAACTGGACAGGTACTCTGAAATATCTATTATAAACCTATCTACTAATAAGCTACTTTTCTGGCTTTGAGCTTTATGAATGCCTTTTATCTTATTTTATTGTAAATAAAAAGCAAAATGAAATGTTCAGTTTGTCTTTAAAACTGCAATATTTAATTTACTGTTTTTTGAAAATGTATGTGGGTCAGAAAAAGATGATGATTTCAGAAGTTTTCAATTTGTTTCTGAAAAATCCTCAAAATCTAAATGATGCTCAAATTTTATTGACTTCATAACTCTTACCATTTCTGAGACTCCTGTGTCAGAAGTTTTACATTACTTCAGTTTGAATGCAACAGATCCATATACTGCTCTGGTCATCCGCATCAGCCTGTGTGACAAATTTTGCTCAGCCTTTGAGCATACTCTACATACCAGTTAGCCTCAGCTGCTGAGCAGTAGTGAACATAACCACTGCCTTTTTGTTTTATCTACAAGTCCAAATCAATAGTGTAATACAATTGAAATAAGTGAAATGCAAAAAAATTCAAAGTACTTACAAAATGAAACTTGAGTGAAGTGACTGGCTAGTAGCTAGTTATTAACAGAGATGAGAAGAAAAACAAAATCTTCATTTTTTAAGTCAAAAATTTTAGCATTTTTTAGAATTTGTGATCACTGTTATGTTCTTTGTATACAGGGGGTCCATAATAACATGTCAATATCCCATATACATATAGAATACAAAAAAATCATGCCACAAGTTCCTATAAAAAAATGTCCTATTGACTCTCCTTTGGATCAGATACATACTCTCAAAGAACACTTCTGGAAATTGGGTTTTCTTAAGTAACTTTTACACTGTGTAATTCAACGAAATTTGTCAGCTTAATAAATTGGAGGCTTAGTTGTTGTTGATGGAAATCAATTAACTCATTTAGAATGACAGGACGAATTAGGCCTAATAAAATATTGCTGATATTTTTTACACCCTGTATCGTAATAGCTCAAAAAGCCTAATGTTTTAGCTGAAAAAAATGTATTTTTGTTTGATTTTGTTGAAATGAGCAGGTTTTGAGAAATATAGTTTTGTTTCAATACTATTCCTATATCAATTTACACTCCAATGCAGCCACTCCTCAAGTAGTCTGACTTAAATCCAAATCTTAATCAGGTGACCTGATAATGGATGTCTTGGGGTTTTTCAAATCATTGATTTCTATTCTATTATCGGAATTACTATGTTAAAATGGCGTGATCAGTAGTACATTGATGCCGCCGATGGATCCAGTTTTGTCAGAAATGGTCTATTTTATTGATGCTAAACAAGAGTACAATCTTTCAGGCCACAGATTAAACTTTCCAAAAGATTTCATTTTTGGGTCATTATGATACAGAGTCGACCTCGACCCATACAGCATTTTTGCAGATACCGATAATCGGCCGGTAGCGATATTTTAAAGTCATATTTCATTGGTGCTAACGGCCATTCATCTTTTTCGATGCATAATCCGGAAATGTCGGTTGTCGGTCGGTTGGAAGTTAGGTAATAAGCGTGCGGGTGTGAACTCGTTGGCCCTTGCGTTGGCCGCAACCCGTCTGCGTCATAAAATCATTGATTAAAGTATTCTACCTGATGATAGCTAACCTAATACTATATTCCATAGTCCAAAAAATTATCCGAGATGAAATTAGATATTGGGGCGTCATCAATGAGAATTTGTCCTATGTTTCTCTTCTCCGCACTAATTAGAAATCTCATTTGAAAAGGTTAGTAGCCCGCAGATGACGCGGTAGCCAACTATATTAGCAAATAGCTATAAAGTAACAATAATATCTTCAAACAAACCTGAGTCAAAAATTGATATTTGGGTGAATATCAGGTATTTGGGTTTTTAGTGGTACCTAAGAAAAATTACTTATTTCAGTTTCATATTCATTACCTCTTAAGATTATACTATTTGTGATGCATCTTTCACAGGACCAGATAGTTTTTTGATTTTTAGAGATTTTACAGCTACCAGGGGAAAATGTGTAGTCAGGGGAGTGACACTATACACAGGGTAGTGACAAACTGAGACAGAAGAGTGACAACTTCTCATGTGAATGATCTTAAAGGACACTTTATAAAAGAATATAAATACCAATAGGTAAATAAGTTCAATAGTTTTTTATTGAAAATAACAAAATCCTACATGTTCCATTAGTCGCTTAAAAAATAACATTTGGATCAACTGAGCGAACCCTGCTCACACAAGAACTAATATAAATAAAAACCACTACATCTGTTTATATCTTGCAACTTAATATAGATAGCAATGTAATAATAATAATAATAGAAATAAAATTATAAAAAATTAAAATAAAAAATTGACATAATATTTATGGTCAGTCTTTGAATCAGTGCTTATAAATAAAAAACGGTAGCTAGCATAAAAATAAAATTAACATAGGTATAACCCGATTTTTTATGAATTCGAGTAGATACTCATTTTTCGAAGGTACAGGAGTTCTGAATTGATAAAATAATCTGTTTCCTCTCATTACTATATTTGGCACCGGCAGTGTTTCTAATACTTTTCCAAGTGTTCGCCGGAAATGTTATGCGATCGCAACATAAGTAATTTAGCATTGCTTGAAAACTCATAAGTCTATAATTTTTGTTCTTTTTAAAGAGACTAAAATCAAATCCATATTTGCATGAGTTGCACACAAGCATGTTTCTCTTCTATGAACGTTTGGATATACAATCCAAAAAGGTCTCAAACGACAAAATGAAGTATAACTTATCGGCACTCCTTTGGTTTTAACGAACCGTGCGTGTAAATGCTTCATTGAGTCTAGTAAAACCCTCTTTTGTTTTTTTTGCTTTATTTTTCGTAATGTAGTCATTTTTTCCTGCACATAAGCGACTGTTGCAGTCTCCTTACAAAAACTTTTTAATTACGTTCTTTATCTTCTCTCTAGTTTCATTCATTCTTGTTCTTGTCACATCTATCAAACCTCTCTCTCTCAGTGGTTAATCGTTTCACAGGGTTCATATCAATTTGACTTAAAACATTGTACTTTCTAACAAACCTACCACTCAATACTTTGCGAAAGAGTGTCTTCTCATTTTTCTTTTTGGTATGCGTTATATTTTCTTTTAGTTGATTTTGAACTACCCTACTGAATGACAGATGCTTTTTAACTTCTTCCACGATCTCCTGATTACTTGGTTTCGTTTTTTTTTTTTTAGTAATCGGTCCACTTTCGACTTTGGTGACACTTTTAGACTTCTTACGTGATCTAGTTTCCTTTGAAATCTCTTCACCTTGTTTTTTAATCTATCAATTTCGTTTTTTTGTTTTTTGATAAGCTCATTTATCCGTTACCTCTGTTTTTCTGAGGGTCTTTTGGCACCTGAAGCTCTATTGTCCAATATTTGAGAATCGAAGTGTGGATCTTCATGGTCCGAAGGCGGCTGTGACTCTGGATAATTAACAATAGTTTTTTCCCTCACACGATCCCTATATCTTTCAGGTTGCTCTCTCCATATCTTTCTCATAGTTCGCTGTTCCCTATCTGTCAGATCTTTTATACTTCTAACTTGTACTTTCTCTTTCTTTCTGTGATACTTCTCTTTTTCGTTTTCTTTTAACTCAGCATTCTTGATTGTATCATTTTTAATTCGCTGGTCGCGTAGTCTTTCTGCTTGGCGTTTTTTCTCCAACCTTTCCTCTCGGGTATGCTTTTTTATAATTTTGCCATTTTAGGGAGTTATGTTTTTTTTTGGTATCTGAAATTAATGAAATAGTGTCTATACCACATTCAACTTCAAGAGCAGGAAGCAGGTCGCTCAGAGCCGTAAACTGGGCCAGGCAACTTCTTAGGTGCAGCCCGCTGATTGATGTAACATATTGGTATGAACACTGACAATGAGCGTTTGAGCACTGAATACGGCCCTATGCGTCTGGACGTGTCTGGCCCGGCCCCTCATGCCTGACCTACTTCAGATCTACTGCATCTTGAAGTTGAATTTGGTATAGTAGCTGCACATCTTATATAAAAAGGTGCCTTTGTATTTCCCCTGGGCAGTGTGTATTTCCCCTGATATAAACACTGCCAGGGGAGTGACGCCAGGGAAGTGACAAAAACGTGCGTAAGCCCCAAAAGAGCAAGATATGTTGATTATTATATGATTTTAACGTGATTCATGGCTTTTGTATTCAAAAATCTTAATTTTTTATAAAGTCGCAAAATATAACTTTTAAATTCACAAAGATATACTTACCAGGGGAAATGCTTCATTCACTGGCAAAAGGGTATCGGACGACTGTTAGAGGGCTACTGACGCGTCCCTGGTCTTCGTTCTCCAAATTACGATAGTTTCGGATTATCCCTTCTTCATTTGCTACTTGCTGCTCAAAGTCAAGTCGCTTAGTTGCCATATTTTGATGAATATATGCAATTTGAATGGTGCCAGGTGAGGGTGACACTGTTCTCAGGAACCACTAATAAACTGGATTTTTTACGCATTTGTGTATATTTTTAGTGTGTCTTTTTGCGAAAATATGTTATTAGATGTATTAGGTAATACAAAGAGTATCCGCTTATTGTTATACCAGTACATAATACAGAGATTTGTTGATGTTTGTAGTGAAATTTGGGAATGGAATATGCCAGGGGACCATACAGTTTGTTAACTTTCAATCAGATTTTTCCTAAATCTTAATGGTTACCTCAATTTCACCATATGTTCCAACTAAAGATTGACATCTTCCACTATTTGGATGGTCTATTTCCACAATTTGTCCATTGGATTAAGATTTTTTTGCAGGAACATTCAATTTCCCAATAACTGATATTCACCCATTTGTAGAAATAACGATTTAACTCGATTTGTGTTAAATGATGATTGCCCTATATCTCGAAATCCATGGGACTTTTGACTGAAAAAAAAAATATTGCCAAACAGTATTTCATGATTTTCGGAGACCCTGTATATTTAGACTTGAAATTTTCACATGATCACCATATGAGTCTTAAAGTAAAGTTTATAAACAAAAATGATTCTAAAACGCACAGAATTATTTAAAAAGTTGGCACGCAAACTGAAGACATAATTATGTTTCAAATAATTGTCAAATAAGTCGGTCGCGTAATCCAGTTTCTTTTTTAAGAAATATAATTCAATGGACTTTACTTTTACAATGGACAGTATACGTCTGTTCACTAAACTTCATACCATTAAAACCACTACAGTTCCAAAGTGTTGAGAATCAAACTCGAGAAAGCGAAAAAACACTATACAAATATCAATCAATTGTAGCGAACTGTCGGTCTGGAAAATTAGACAAAATATGATCAGTATTCCTCCTGAATGTCTTATTCGAAGCTTCTAAATTGTATCTAACCTATTCTACCCCTAGATCGTCACCCTAATACTATATTCTTGAATCCAAAAAATTATTTAAGATGAAATGAGCAAACTGACTGCGCGACTTTGTCACGTAATCCAGTTTCTTTTTTCACGAAATATAATTCATTCGTCTTTTTTCTAGACGTGTTAGTATAGTATACCAAAATTTTGAAAAAAAAAACAGGAAGCAAAAAAACAGTAAACAAATATGCACCACTTGTAGCGAACTGACCGTCTCAAAAATTACGCAGTGCTCAGTATCACTTCTGAACATATTATTCTAAGTTTCAGCTTTGTATCTTTCAGAATTTCCGAGATTATTGTTATTGCTTATAACAGCAATTGCCAACCGTATCAGTTTGCCTCCTTTAAAAAGTAACAAAAACCAACAAAAATCTTTATTGATGTTCAAATTTAGATGCGATGTCAAAATATCTCTTCGTACGTTTTTGCGGTTTCACGCAACACACAGCCAAGTTTGTAAATTAATACATACCTTGCATTGATACAATAAGTGAAAATTTATATACTGTAATATACGTATATGTACGTATTCAATAATCCTAACCCTAATTAACTTTTTGTTTTGTATCGGGACGAGTTACAGGTAAAACAATATACATTTTGAGGATGGAATCATCTATATCGTATACCTTGATTGGTGCATGGTTTGAAAAAAATCATTGTAAAGGGGACAAAAACGTTGAATGTGGTAATAGCCTAGAAATATTGGGTACGCATAGAAAACTCTACATCATTTTCGTTGCTGTACCGTTTCTCTATTGTCTCATTTTGCGATTTGTTTCTTACTGTGAAGCGTCTGAATAAAACATCAAGTTATAGCATTGCAAAATTGTAATTGTTTCATCAGTAGCGCTCCAGATTCATACCAAATTGAGCTCAGTAACTACCAATATGATGAAATTTAATGGTACTACCATCAGAAATGTATGCACATGGAACAAGCATACTGAAACTCAAAATATTTCCTGACTTTCTAATTAACTTCAATTGTAATCAACCAACCGAGCCACTAAATTTTCATTGTAGTAGCATATTTCCTCACATAATAGTGTAAAATAAATATTCTGAATCTTTTTCATCGTTGCAAGTTTATCACTAATATTATACTCATGTACCTGTATTAATGACTTCCTTTAAAAAAATTGTCACATAATTCTCTTGATTTCTGCTGACTGATCTAATCTGATTCGTTTTGTTTAGATGGAAGAAGTATCTGTGCGAAGATAAAGACAGTTGGATAGGTGTTTTTGCAAACAGGCTTTGGATTCTGAGACAAGAACGTGATTGCATATGTTACAAAGTATATGAGAAAAATTGCACAGAAAATGATGAGAATTTATATAATAATCTTTTAAGTAATTATTTCCAACTGGAAACCAGATCACAAGAACATTATAATACTTGGTCACAAGTTGACCCAAATTTTCAGGAAGCTGCAAAGCAATTTTATGGCATAAGGATCTTAAAGCAAGATATTATCGAGAACATTTTTTCATTTATCTGTTCTTCCAACAATAATATCAGTAGGTAAGATTATTAGAAAACTGTGAGTGAAATTGTTTTATATACTAAGTGACATATAAATCCGAACACCCAGTTTAAATGGTTTTATTTTAATAAAAGTTGGTGAATGTATTTATCTTACTGTAAATAACAAGTGAAAAAATTTTAGCCTTATCAGTTGGACATTCCGGTTTTTATACTGCTTTTTTTTAATTCACTAACGCTCTAAAAATGAATATTTCAGCCGCAGTAAAGAATCAACGTTGGCGGATTTTGGTTCTTGACATCCTTTACGATCGGTTACGATGCCTAGAGTGCGGAAACCTGTACGATTTCGTCAACTTAGTGAGTTTGATAGGGGCCGTATAGTGGGACTTCGGGAAGCTGGGCTTTCTTTTCGGGCAATTGCAGTTAGAGTGCAAAGAAGTGTAGACACTGTGGTTAGGTGTTATCAGGCATGGTTTCGAGAAGGCCGTACGCAAAGAGCAAGGGGCACTGGACGCCGCCGTAGAACAACAGACCGTGAAGATCTCCGCCTAAGATTATTGGCCTTAAGGGACCGTTTCTTCACTACCAGGTCCATTGTAAATGAATGGTTTGCAGAACACGGAAGACCTATTGGCATGCGAAGTGTTTACCGACGAATGAGAAGTTTTGGCTTGTTTTCATACCGGCCACACTGGGTCCTCCCTTTAACTCGAGAACACCGACGTAATCGCCTTGAGTGGTGCAGACAACGGTCACTCTGGGATCAGGAATGGAACAGTATTGTCTTTAGTGACGAGTCTCGATTTTGTTTAGGCATGCACGATGGTCGTGCCAGGGTTAGAAGGCGACGTGGTGAAAGGAGGAATCCGCAGTTTTTTGTTGAAAGACATGTTCATCACACTGTTGGAGTTATGGTTTGGGGTGCTATAGCTTATGGTTCCAGTTCACCTTTAATCTTCATCAGAGGTAACATGAACGCGCAGCGTTATATCCACGAAGTTCTAGAACCCCATCTGTTACCCTATCTTGACACCCTGGCAGATCCAACTTTCCAACAAGATAATGCCCGACCACATGTTGCAAGAGTCACAATAGACTTCTTTCAACATAATGATGTCACATTGTTACCATGGCCACCAAGATCTCCCGACTTATCCCCAATTGAGCACGTGTGGGATATGATGGGTAGGAGATTGCTCAATTTGCAACGTCCTCCTCAGACTCTAGAAGCACTTCGAGAGGAGTTGGTGGTTGCCTGGAATGAGATACCACAGGAGGACATTGACCACCTGATCAGAAGCATGCCTAGGCGCGTTGGAGAATGCGTAGCACATCAGGGTGCATCCACACATTATTAAAGGTCAAAGGGCTTTAAAGCAGTGCAATCATTTTGAAATTTTTATCATTTACTTATTATGCTTCATTAAGTACTTAGTACTTATACAAAATTTTATTAAAATAAAACCATTAAAACTGGGTGTTCGGATTTATATGTCACTTAGTATAATTGCTTCAAATTGTTACCAGACTTCTTTGCTTCTTCAAAAAAATAGTGACTATATTTCCTAATGTAGAAGTAATTTTCTATGAACACAGGTGTTATAAAGTACTACTGCTAATTTAAACCCTCATCTGTTACATTCTGGTGCAAACGACTTCAACCAACTGGCCTACGACGCTGCCAACCAACTATTCCAATCCTAAACATGATGCTATCGTTCGACCGTCCAAAAAAGACACCCAATCATTGACAGCTGTTTCGTGCTTCTTTGCTACTCATCAACATGGTCTAGGCGTCATCTATCGACCACTGTAGAAAGCGTATATGTATTTATGTAGCTGCTATTAGTTGGAACTGTTAGGGATCTCAGCTCGCGATTAATAACCTAGTCAGGACGTGACCGCTAGATGGCTGACGATTTTGGCTATAAAGTAGATATGGTTTACTTACCTTCGAATAAACTAAACATGATGCTTTCGTTCGTCTGACCAAAAGACATCCATCTACCGACATCTGTTTCGTGCTTTTTGGCTACTACCATGCTGATAGTAGTATTATGTATATGATTTGAGCGATGGAATATTTTGAAACAAAACAGTTCATGGTCCCATTTCCATGATACCGAGTGTTTGAACATGATATTTAAGTGAAATACACTCAGGTTCTTTCTGTAGCTATTTAGACAATACCTTAAAAACAGATTGATGCGTAGATTTGTATTCAACATGCTGTGTTTTTCAGAATAAGCAGCATGGTAGAAAAATTAGCAAAGTTTTACGGGGAAGAAATCTGCCAACTTGATGGAGATACATATTATTCTTTCCCCAAAGTAAAACTGCTAGCAGGAGAATCAGTGGAGCAGCAACTGAAGAATAACGGTTTTGGATATAGAGCAAAATACATAAGTAAATCAGCTCAGATAATTGTACAAAATGGTGGCGAGCAGTGGCTGGATGAATTGAAAAAAATGTCATACAATGACGCGAAGAAATCACTAATGACCTTGACCGGCATCGGAGCAAAAGTGGCGGACTGCATTTGTCTAATGTCTCTGGGGCACTTGCAGGCTATCCCCGTCGATACGCACATATACCAAATAGCCAAGAAGTTTTACATGCCAAATTTGGCTGCCAATAAGACTGTAACCGAGAAAGTCTACAATGAAATTGGTGATCACTTCCGGAAGTTGTACGGACCACTGGCAGGATGGGCACATACTGTAGGTTATAAGAGGTTTCGTAATTCACTAGCTCATATGCATATGTATTTGTTCAAGGTGCTGTTTTGTGCGGATCTTAAGAAGTTTCAGGATGACAAAAAGAAAAATGCAAAAGAAAGTGTCTTGGGGGAGCCGAAGAAAAAGAGGAAAAAGCAATAGGCCGTGCATCCAAATAAATGTTTTGTTTTGCTGATTTCGAACTTTCTTGTTATCAATTATGGTCCACTTGTATCATTAGAATTGTAGTCGAGATTTGCAAACATTTTTTAAATATTGAGTTTTATGCACTGTCGTTACCTACTTTTTCTCTTACCTGGACATCAAAATTCAATAATCTTGTACAGCAATCATATCTGTTAATAATTATTAACCATAGGTATTTATTCAAGTGACTTCAAGCGGATCGGCAGAGGTATTATGTAAAAAACCTAAAACACGTGAAAAAATTTGTTCATAACAAGTGTCAAGTTAACATCATGTAGAAAAACCTACGTTATGTCACAAAAGACCTACGAAATGTCAAAAACAAACCGACGAAATGTCACTTTTCAAGATACGTAATACTCCTGCCGAACAGCATTTAGATAAATATTGATGTTCTAGCACTTTGAGTCATCTCACCTTAGCACTTAATCTTAAAACTCTCTACGTCTTTTTCAAAGCGTTTTATAGTCCGGGAGTTCATTACATGCAAGCTCTTGCAGTTGCAAGATGACTTTGTCTTGTCTGCAACACAATTGCAGCCAATCACTTGCAGTTGCAAGACGGCCCTGTTTCCTCAATTCAAACGAGCAAAGTTACCTAACCAAACGAATGGAATATTCGATGTCACATTCCTAACCTATAATTTTGGTTTTATTTTTTTACCCTTCAGAACATATGGTTCTAATATCCAAAAGCTAGCTTCAATCACCGACCATACATCAAAACTCGATCAAACGTAAACCCTATTCCACGAGTATCCATTACGTTTTGACGCCTACTGAGGTGAACAGCTGATCAGCAAGTGACATCTTTGTATTAATCTGAAACGTTGGCAATAATGAATTGGATGTAATCTGGTAAAACTTTAACCGTATTCAGAGCTCTTGTTCAATATCTAGATATTATTAGTGCCTGGAAATTTTGACCGTAACGTTTAGGAAGTACACATTTTTATTAGAAAATTATTATAGTTCATTTGGGATTTATTGATTACGAGGTAAGTCAATAGAACGGACTGTGTTGTCCTTCCCATAAGCTGAACTTTACATATAAAAATATTGACACGTATTTCTTTTTAATCATCCGTCATCAGTGTAACGTAATTCAAATATGGCTATTTCATTGTCCTTTAAAATCATATGATGTTTCAAGATATAGAAAGAACAAAGTCAAAAATTGTTTTTTATTCCTACCCGACTTGAAATATAGTATGTAGACATGATCATTTGTAGCCATTTTGCTATTTTATGCGAAGTAGCTTTTCTACATAAAATCTAATGTATTTTTTCTAAAAAATTTCATATCTTTTTTCACTTCAGATTTACCTTTTTATAAGGTGTAAGGCCGATCAGGATAAAATCATCAGTTATAGTCTTGAGCTTTTAATCAAACATCAAAATTAAGGAAGAAAAGGACAAACATTGGGATAGTTTCATATTGCTATTAGTTTAACAATATATATGATCACCATTTGAGGTTACTCGTATTACAAACTTAAAGCGTAATAAAAAACAACAATAACAAAAGCAATATAAACAAATACTATTATTACTACTCAATACATCAGACTACCGACTTTGCTTGAATATATCCCCTATATGGTGGATACACAACAGAAGTCTCTGGGTAAATGACTAGTTTGATATCCTTTAGAATGTTCCCTTATGTTCTCAAGCACATCCTTTATCCTCTCCTTCATAATTCCAGAGGTAGATGATGGATCCTTATAAACTTAACGTAGCCCCATAAAAAGAAATATGGGCGAGACCTGGAGACCTAGGAGGCAAAGATGTGGGCCCACCACGACCAATCCAACTAGCCTCATGCTTGGTATCTGAATAGGCACACGGCCATAATACACAGGTGCGCGAGTTAACAGGTTGACATCCTCCAAAACCTGAGGCGAATGTTCCATCAAAAAAATTCCCGTATTCAATACCTGATAATCTGTTCTGGAAAGGACTGATAAGTTGCCAATGCCCAAACATTCATGCTCCATTTGTTCTGGAAATATGTTTGTCTAACCCAGTAGGGGTTTTCCGTGCATAATAGAGCATGTTGTGCATGTTTACAACACCTATGCTGCTAGCAGTTGCCTCATCGCTAAAAGGAACATCATCCAGAAAAGTAGTGTCTTCACTCATATTATTCAGGATTGTATTGCTAAACTCCATTCGAACTGAGAAATATTTAGAGCAAAGGCTTTGCTGTAATCATAGGTGATATGGACGGTATCTATGTTGATAATTACTTTAACAGAACTTCTGCTTATATCAATTCCTGCTCCATTTTTCCGTGCTCTTAAGTGGGAATTTTCTTGCAACTTTAATAGAGCCTCCAAGTGTTTCGCCTCATTCGCGACTTATTAATTATTTACAATTTTTTCACGATAGTGTACTGGTCTACTTGATTCAAAACGTGGTCGTAGTACGGCCTTGGAGGTCGCAAATTACGGTAGCGTTACTTATAAATGCGAGATGCTAGGACACGAAGACCATATTTATCATTTCTTCCTGAGAGAAATGCATTTTTGACATATCACAGACACTAACCTGAGCAACAATCATTTGGTCCATGGATATTTTAATGACTTACACCGTTTGATAGATGGTTTATAACTGAAAAAATAACCGTAAAAACCCGTATATCTGATATCAAAAACGCTTTTAAAAATGCAATCTGAAAATGCAAAAATATACAGGGTGTTGCATTTAAATGTTTTGAAAAAATTGTGCGCTTTTGACCTCGCTGCATAAACGAAAATGAGAATTAAAAAAAGGTTAAAGCTGAGGTAGCTTTTTTTGGTAAAAAATTAAGCGCTCCATCTGTTGAAGTGGCGTGCTGGTGGGTTGCCAAAGTGGCAAAACGCATTATAGCTCAGCAACTAACTACCAAAATCCCATAGTATGTTATATCAATGTTCTTCTTTTGCATCGATTTAATCAAATATGCAATAAAAATTGTGCGATACCATTTAAAAAAATCACAACTTTGATACGTGGCTCAAAATTGGATCACCCCACAGACCACCCTGTAGAATTGTGAATATTTAGAAGTGTTTCTCCAAATATCAGGTATAGTAATCCAAAAATGGTTTTCTTGGAAAATCTTTATCTTAAAGAGCAATCTCATGTTCTCGCATGAATGAGCCATCCTGTACACAGAAAGGCCTGGCAATAAAGAGAGTAGAGTAGATAAAAACATAACAAGAAAAGTTATAGGGGCTTTTTTCAAATGTTTGTGTTCTTTCTAACTTAAAATAAGCCGCGTTTTTCTGAATTACTATGTATACCAATAGGGTTAACTTAATCAAAGGTCGTAATTATAAGTGCGCATTCCCGAACCAAATTGAAGTAGCAAAGTTCATATAAACATTTGGTATATCAGAAAAAACGATGTCACTCATTTGAGTCGGTCTGTCACTCTGTCCGCTAATCCTTGGCCCGTCTAAAACTTGGAAAGTACAATGTTACTACTATGCCAATGACGAAAAATCTGTGTAGTTTTTGAATATCGGTCCAGTGGCGGCAACCAAAAAAAAATTGATCTAACTCGTTTTTCAACGTATCGAATCCTGATAATTTAAAAAAAAAATAGGGGTGAAAATTGGGAGGTGGAGGGTTGTAAGGGGATTAGAAGAGGGTGTAAAGTTCTTGTTAGTATCATAGTACACTTTTAGCCCCGATAATTCTACGCACCTATTAAGACATATTTCACACATCCTAGATTGCCCCATACATTTGCATTTAAAATGAACGTTAGAAAAATGTTTTCGACAAGCGTACTTGCTACTCCTGACTTCAACGGCTGGAGTTTGTATGTGTCCTGCACTACTGGTGCTCAGTGGGCCCTCTGCCTCGTGTGAGGCATCATGCTTTCATATATTGAGGAGATGCGACGCGACGTTGCCAGATTGAGGGTACTATGGGTAGGGAAAGGATGTTATGATTATGAACTAACCAGTTCAACGGACTTGATCCGTTCAATTTCTTTGTTATACATGTTCGTAACTAACTTTTTCCTTAGAGGATCTAACTTATACATGCTGCTTTCGTCCGTCCAACCAAAGGCATCCAACCATGGTGCTGTCTTATTTCGATAGATTCTAACTTGTGCTGAACATAATCCTTTATGAACTGATGACGGCGTTGCGTAGGAAGTGTGGAGTCAATCCCTATTTGACGCTATTATTTTATCGATATATTATTCGTGAGACTGCTCCCCGAGACGCCACTGGAATTCATAATGATCTTCTAGTTAGTGCTAATTTAGCGTCCTATTGCAATAAACAACCCTGCTAAAATACAACAAAACCGACACAAGGACCTTTGGAATATTAATAAAATATTCTTAAACTTTGACACCCTGTTTGATTCAGGAATGCGCGCTTGTAATTACGGCCTATCACTAAATAAAACCCTGTATATATTTTTGAAAATTATCTAAGTGTCAAAAGTAGGCGCTTTCGAGTTTTGAATATATTACAGCTTACAGCACTGTCAAAACCAAATTTTACGATCGACTGTTGGAGGCAAGTGACACCCTAACCGCGCGCCATCTCTTCCTTGTTCCTTCAAGCTGCGGGTTACAAGTTACAGAAGCGAGTGGTTGGCTTGCCAGCTTTAACTTCACTGCGACCCAAGTGGATCTATTGTGACCCCCCTATATAATTTCGAAAGCACTGTGCCCAGCCTTGATCCTTTGATCAGATTCCATAGCCTTAACACAGGGCCTTGCATGTAGCTTTCCGCTGTTGGACCTGTGGTTCCTACTATACAGGGTTTGTCCGGAAAGTAATAGGACTCATTTTCTTCCGCCATGGCTGTACTTCGGAGCGTGCGCGCACCGACTGGATTCGGTAGAGGGCGTTCCTAGCTAACGAATGAGCGGCTGGTCAGTTGTCTCCGAGCACTTGGAGAGTCAGGACAGGCATTTTCGCGCGACGTGTTTCTGTGAGTGGTGCAAGCCGAAAATGCAGCATTCGTTAGAGCAGAGGTACGCGATTAAATTGTGTGAAACTCGATAAATCTGCGACAGAGACGTTTGATATGATCAAGCAGGCTTACCCAGGTGTTGCTTTAGCAAGAAGTGGTGTGCTTCGGTGGCACCAGGCCTTTTTGGAGGGCCGGGAAGAGGTCGCTGATGAAGACCGTGCTGGAAGACCTTCGACTTCGACAAACACCGATAATGTGACTCGTGTGCGCAAAGTTTTGAACTCAGACCGTCGACTAAGTATTCGTTTAATTGCCCAGATGTCAAATTTACCAAAATCTGTGGTTCATGACATTGTGACACAGCAAGAGGCAATCTTCCGAGTGGCACACGACGGCGTCTCCTCGCCCAAAAAAGGGAAGAATGAGCAAATCCAAAGTGAAAACGATGCTCATTGTCTTTTTTGATATCAAAGGCACCGTCCAGCATGAATTTGTTTCTCCTGGACAAACCGTCAACGCCGAGTTTTTCGTGGAAGTGCTCAGGAGACTCAGACGAATGGTCAGTCGGGTCCGACAAGACAAATTAGTCAGTAGTCAGCAGATCATTGTCCAGTAAATTGTCAGAGCCCGAAATCAAATACAATCATTATACGAATGTAACATCTTTCAGCATGAGGTAGAGACAATTTTGGAAAAGTTATTTTCATTTTCTGTAAACCAGAATGATCTAGGATTTATCGTCCAATTGCCCGGAAGTGCTTGAATTTTCCTCTAGAGGGAATAACCAAGTACATTTTCTAGAAAAATAACATCGCCAAAAAATGTCAAGAAAATTTACTCACTAATTCCCATTCAACTCTCATTTAAAAAGTATGGACATAAATTTGGAGGAATGTGATTCCACACATAGAATGACAAATTGAAGAAGCAAAAAAAAAGAAGTCTGAAAATAAACATCTGCGATCGCCATGCAAGAAAAATGTATTGTAAATATGTTTTTATAAATCTTTCTAGATTAGTGGGGTTTTTGTTCCCTAACAGTTGTCTCCCAGCCTTGAAGCACATACACCAAAAGTGTGTATATTCTAGCTCCAATTCAACCCAAGCTGATCGAAAAAAAAACGTAATGCCTTTGCCACAATTGGCCGTTCCACCATTCTAGGGACTTTTTCTTGGTCCAACTTCTTATGGACCGTTTGGTGCGTGATCTCGTCACGGCACAGAGAAAGGCTCTGGTCGGATGAGGCACCCTGTCTGGCTAACTCAACCGCCGTTTTATTTCCTTTGTGCCCTTCATGTCCTGGTACCCACAGCAAAGTTACCTTGTTTCGGTTTTCCAGCTCTTTGATAGTGTTCACCCAATCCCATACTAGTTTAAACGATATTTGCGATGAACTTAATGCTTGGGCGGTTAGGTTTGAACTTGCTTTTCGAATAGTTGATTCTGCATACTTACAGAGGAGTGCTTAGACCAGTAGCATATGGGTTATGCTACTTTCTTCCAATTTGGTACTTGATTATTTCAGGCAAATTTGGTGGCTATAATGTGTTTAAGACTGACGAAATAGTTACGGGATAAGAAATAACTCCTTTAATTTTGGTAAGCATTCTATGTGTTTTGACATGATACAAAATAAGCACATCAAATTCACTTGATTTCAATAAACATTCCTATTTAAATAAAATGAAAACTACTACAAGAATTACTTTTCAATTTTCCATCATCGTTTCGTTCTGGTATTGGTAAAGCAATGTTTATTCCAATTGCATTTGTTCATCATCATCATCCTTTTTTTCGTCCTTTTTGGTGTTCTTCTTGTCTGCATCCTTGTCTTTTTCGCTTTGAGTAGAAGTAGAAGAGCTGCTCTTTTCTAAAGCCTTCACGAAATCTTGCATGTTTCCTTGAGCTGCAGCAGCCACTGCTTCTGGATTCACAGCTAACTGAGACACGATGGGGCCCAACTGCCCTGATTCCAATGCACTTGAGAACTGGGAGACAGCCTGCAGAAATGAATGATACAAATTATTATCTTTGATCGGCACTAACCATTCAAGTATGGTTTGCAGGGTCCAGCACTCGAAGTGTAACTGCTCTCGCATCTGTCACACTGACAGCAGCTGTCAATAAATTTGCTACATGACAGTTCTGAGTATTGTCTAAAAATGCACAAAAGCGTTTTGTCAAAGGTGCACACAAACGAAGTTATAAGCAATGGAATTCAAACGCAATAGTGTGATTGCTTTATATTTGTCAGGAAAATCACAACCAGCGGTTGTACGTGAGCTCAAACATCTCAATGTGAATAAGGTTAGAACTGAAAATATCCGAATATTGAAAAATGAGCTCAAGGTCAAGCCTTACAAGTTCCAGAAGGCGCATGATCTTACACCGAAGCAGCAACAAGTGAGACTTGAGAGAGCTAAGGAGCTGCTTCGCTTGGCCGAAAGTGGTCAATTTCTGACAAGAAAACTTTTCTAATTGAGCAATTTGTAAACTCTCAAAACGATATGGTTTACTTGAACGAACGTTCTTACGAGAATTTGGTCACCCGGAAGCAGCACGCGCCACAAATAATGTTTTGGGCCGCTGAACCGCAGATAGGCGTTCTCCAATCGTTCTCATGGAGCCTGGCGTTAAAGTAAATGAGACATACTATCGGGAAAGTGTTCTGGAGGCTGCTTTGAAGCCGTGGGCAGACAAACATTTCGACAGCAGGTCATGGACACTTCAACCAGACTCGGCACCGTCTCACACAGCGCGAATAAACCAATAATGGCTGAAAAACAACGTTCCTAACTTCATTTCGACCACACAATGGCTCTCGAATTCACCCGACGCGAATCCAATTGATTATTCTATCTGGGCCATTTTGGAGAGCAAGGTCCGAGATAAGAAATACACCAGCCTAGAGACACTGAAGAAATCCATTGTCCGTTAATGGACCAAAATATCGTCAAGTCACAGTCGGGCAGTTTGTGATTCGACTTTGGATCGTCTCAAAGCTATAGTCAATGCAAAAGGTGGTCATATTGAGCCAAAGTGATTTATTTCTGCATTTTCGAATATTTTCACACATTCTGTACTTTGGAATAAATAAAAATAATTTTCTAAACCGAATTTATCGCATTTTGAAAAGGTTACACACCGAGTGTCGGGCCCTGTAGCCTGCATTATCGTCACATGGAAGAAGTTAAAATATACTTTGACACTTTATACATCATCACTTTAGAATACTTCAATAGCTTATAGATGTAAAATATTTTCAATGAATGTGTTCTAAATTAAAGTCCAATATCTGATAACATCGCCATTTCCCGCCAGCGTTCCTTAACTTGCATTATCTCGCTGAGCAGATATTTGACTTAATTCAAAGCAGTTATGATTTAAATACAAAAATAAAATCCTCAACTGGATTCCAATCTTCGGAACCTCTGAAAATATCGCAATATGAAAAGTGATGAAGCAAGAGTTGTTGAGTTGTCGGTAAGTTTTGTGTGTTTTGGGCAGAAGTTTATGTTTCCATGTTTTGGGAATTCGCTCCTCTAAAAGGTCATATGAAAACATGAGTCCATTTGAGAAAAATGAGTTTTTTCAAGTTGAATATTGAGAAGTTAAGACGGTAATTTCAAATACCCTGTATGTTCGACAAACTGAAATATGGAAGGATAATAGTCACAAGGTTGTATTAGTCCAGACAAAATACATCAAAAAATATTGCAAGTTTGTAAAAAATCCCTCAAAGCAGAAGATTTGTACACATCACTATGAAAATAATATATCAAAACTCATATATCCTTGGAGCGGAACCTTGTTTTCTTTGGGTTGAAATGTAAAAATATCACGTTTGCAGATAATACAATTAATACACCGATCCCTGGGTAACACCCGCGTTGACGTTGTCGGATGAAGACGAGACCCCTCAATTACGACGGATATCTTGAGGCCAGAGATAAAGTCAGTCACCCATCTGCAAAGCTTTTCTGGGATTCCATAGGATGGAAGTTTGCTTAAGAGGGCAGCGTGCCACAGCTGATCGAGCGCTTTCGTGATGTCAAGAGCTACGCATGAGCCTCATAAGACTGGATAAGTTTACTCCTCAATTGAGTGACGTAAGCTAGGAGGTCTCCCAGAAGCTCGCGATTTATGCACCTCTCCATCACCTTACTTATAAAAGAAAGCAGAGCTATAGGCCCGTAATTGTAAGGGTCGGTCTTAGATCCTTTTTTTTTGGGGATGGGTTGGACATGAGCAAAGTTCCAGTTTTCTGGGAAGGTGCCGGACTCATAAGAGACGCGAAAGAACTGGAGCAAGCTCCGCTGCACACCTCTTCAGTACAATAGCAGGAATCAAGTCCGGACCAGAAGCTTTGTTGATGTCGAGCGACAAGAGCACTCGTCTTACGGTCTTATGCATGAATGTTACCTCCCGCATAGTGTAGGGAACCCTTTGAATTGGCGGCACTTGGGGGTTGGGGGGGGGCACGTCCATGGTGGAGTTTGCAGCAAAGATCTTGGCTAGTACTTCCACCTTGGCCTTTGAGTCGAATAGTTCCATCCTGACACGTAAGTGGTGGAAGGCTACTGTTTGAGAAGTTCTTTTCAATCTGCTTGGCCAGCGTCCAGAAAGACCGACTGCCATTGCGCTGAGACATTACCCTGGGCCTAACTTTTATATCGTGCTGGTTTTTGGCATTGGGAACCGCTTCGTTATATTTGTTTCTGGACTCGACGTCGGCTTGTCTGTTCTCTACAGTGGGGTTTTGTAAGAAGGTTCTGTGTGCATTGACCTTCTGCTAATAGCAGTGTCACACGATTTGTTAAACCAGCCCTGGTTTAGGCACTTTCACTGTGTGAGGGATGTAGGTTTGCGGCCTGTACGAGTTTCTGCTGCCACAGCGGGTTCTGACCGAAACCCAACCTCCACAACACCGTGGTCTGAGCTACCCAGGGGGGACAGGACAGCAGTGCTGTAAGGGACAGGATGCGTGGTCAGAAAGAGATCCAGCAGGCTACTGGCATATGACGAGACGCGGGGGAAAAAGGAGGGCTCGTCACCAGCTGGGTTAGTCCTTGAGTAAGAGCGAACGCTTCGACTGCACGACCTGCTGCATCGGTCTTGTTTGAACCCAACCAAAGCTCATTATGGGCATTGAAATCACCGAGAACTACCTCTGAAGCGGGGTGATTGATGTTCATGAAGTCGATCTAGACGACGAGCTATTCGAGTAGGTCATCCCAGCCATGGTCCGAGGAAGAACGATAAACGCAGCAAATAAATTTGTGTGTGATGTTTTGTAGTTGAGGCGAAGCCACAGAATGTCCTTCCGGTCTTAGTCCAAAGAAACATCTCTGGAGCAGGAAAGCCTACTGCGGACAAAAGCCACAACTCCACAGATCTTTCTCAGATTGGAGTGCACCTCGTAGTTTGGGAAGTTGAGACGGTTAATCGGTCAGACTCTGAGATTTTTGTCTCCGCCAAGAAAAGCACGGCGGGATGATTGGATTGCAGGTAGTGATGAACAGCATCAATGTTGCTGTTAATCCCGCAGATCTTCGAAAAACAAATTGTATCTTCGATGTTGTTCCCTCGAGACCACCCTCCACCCGGACATTCCGAGATTGGAGTGAGTTTACGTCCGGAGTTCTTAGTGCTCGAGGGATCCATCATCATTACTTTCTTTGTTTTGGAAGATAACCGACTGCATAGCTTAGGTGTGGAAACATGCGGACATTTATAAGACACCGTAGGAGAAGCTAGGGGGTGGTACCGCCTCGGTCGACTGGTTCTTCTTTTTACGTATTAGTGATACGATAGACCTAAAGTGGCCCGTTGGCGGACTTGTACCGCCACCCGGCAATCGCTACTGAGGTATTCCTTAATATGTTATTGCAATTAATATATCAAAAGTCCCTGTCGATCCTTTATATTGGAGATTACTTGTCAAAGTTACCAATTTTTTATTTATAATTCTCTGGAACGGTACGAGTAACGACAAAAATAGGTTACATCAAAATTGTGGAGCAAGTAATGTAAAGTTGAGCAGTCCAGTTGCTTTTGGTCAGTCGCTGTTTATGCGTTCTTTGATTTATAGAATGTTACGGCGCGTACGCGGCATGTTTTATTGTTATCGATTGTTCGATATCCACTGAGATATAGAAGCAGTGATATGTGCGACTAGTATACTGTGGCAAATAGTGGAAAGGGAATGTCCAAGAAAAAAATGTGGCAAGAAGGAAAATCGAAGGCAGGACATTAAAAATAGGAATAGTAAATACAAATATAAATTATTTTGTTGAAGGTGGAGAAAAAAATGACTGTAAAGTATGCTTCTGTAACACCCTAGGTGAGAACGAAAAATGCATAAGGTGTGCTGTGGAAAACAAGTTATCCTTGACTAACGGAATTACCCATGAGGACTTGAGAGGGAAAAACTCACCTCCCCACAAAACGCCGCAATCGAAGATTGATGAAAGTAAGAAATATATAAATTCATTCCCAACCTACAAAGGTCACTTTCCCAGGTGACATTCTGATAAGAAGTATCTGCCTTCTAATCTAAGTGTTATGTTCAAGTTTTACTGTAAACAGCAGCCTGGAAGATCCGTGTCTTATATCTACAGAAATGTGATACACTTAACGCTCAACTGAAGTTTACGATTACTGACAGTGAAAATGAAACACATAAAACAATTACTAGAAGAACATCAAGAAGCAGAAAATGCTTAAAGTCGAAATCATTGTTCAAAGAAAAACGTATAATGAATACAAAATGTGTGACTTATGCTTTCAATCTTCAACAAGTTATACCTACACAATATTTAACATCAAGTAGAATGTTTTATTTAAGACAGCTCTCGACTTATGATTTAACAGTATATAATTGCTCGGATGGAAAATCAAGTCACATTATAGATTCCTTCAGACAATCCCAGAGAGAATAGATCATGCAATTTTGTACTCCGATACATTCGGTTAATAAAATAAAAATGTCATTGATATTAACATGTTTCAGTACGTTGTTCAACTCATACAACCATAAATATAATATATAATATAATATAATTTTTTTGTTCCCCAGCATATACATTTAGAGTGTGATGTCGATCACTCTGTGATTGAACGAGCCGAGAAAAGATCTCCAATTAGCATTCACATTCCAAGAGACTGGTATCAATTAGTAAGAACGGCCAGCAGAAAAAATAAATTTTCTATTTTGCCTATGGAAATGGAGCATTTCTTGCTTTTTCGGATATATCTACAAATGGGCCTCTTCAAAAAAAAATCAAAATAAGAGACATTCGTTGGATAAGGCACATTAAAAATGCCACAGTGGGTTACAAGAATAGTTTGAAAGAAGACGATCCATTCAAAGATATTGCTTTATTTAGAAAGGGGCATAAACCTTCAAGTTTAAATATCAAATCAAAAAGAGTATATAATGGCCCCAGTCCAATCAACAACTTAAACAAAATCTACTAGAAATTGTTTGTTCTTTAGACAAAGAGAATCAGTCATTCTACAGTGAATTGAAAACTGACAAAAAATTTTAAGAGGTTACCGATCCAAATGTAGATAGGTACCTAACTGATGAAGAATGCTAGTCAATGTATTTGCTTGTACCTGATGGAGTTACTATCACTGAGAAAGCAGCACTGTTTGTTAATTTTATTATAAAGTATCGTGTAGGTCGACTTACATCTTTTGAATCATGTTTCCCTCTAAATATGTAGTTTCATGTCATTTTTACCATGACGAACTCATTTACACTATTTAACAAAAAAGGGATATCTAATAATTTTCTCATTTAACTCAAATATCTAAGTATTGTATAATACTATATGGTTCAGGAGGTACCATTCCTTCCAGCCACACCAAAAATAAATCAAATTAAAAGAGGTCACAACTTCACCGCCATTTTACCCAAAACAAAAAATGTACACATAAGCCCTCTCAACTATTTGCCACAGTATCTAAATATATCACTTATACATGGTGTTTAAAAAGTAAAAAATATGGTGATGGCTCTACAAAAAAAATGTGCAAAAGCCTGGAAAGATTTACCGACCTTTAGTCTGCTGTTGCAAGTAATATATCCAAGTCCCTACTAAATCATTTAACGAGACGTATCTCCGCATTTTAAGACCAAAGGTAATGAAAATATTGTACAATATTTTGTTGTTCTATACATCATAGTCATCATAAAAACGGTAGCAGCGGTGGTCGCAGTAGTAGACTCTTCGGTCTCCTGATCAATCGCCGTGCGCTGTGCGGGTTCCAATCCCGTCCTAAAAGAAATTTTCCTCTTGGCTATGGATGTTGTGATTGTCCGTAGGTGGTAGACGGTCTCTGACTGTCGAACGCAGAGGTACCACCCGGCGAAACTCGAAGGCGTCGCCAGAATGTGTGCATGTTGCATGCTCACGTGTGGCGTTCCCCCTTACCCCTGTATCCCACTATAGCCCCACGGTACCCCATGGGCGTTTAGGCCTTAGGCTTTCGTGGTAGTTGGAGTATAAAAGAAAACTATATGAAGTTTGTAGAGCGCGTACTGTTTCCGTATAACTTGTAATTTATGAGGCATTTTCAGGAATATTTGTAACGTATTCATCACTGTCGTGAAGTAAATCGTTATTTTTCTATGAACACAGATACATAGAAGATACAATATTCAAATCATTCAAGGAGCAATGGGGACTTTTAATTTATTACTTGCAATAACATATGAAGGCCTAAAGCAATTTTCAAGTGGGTACGGTTTTTTCCAAAAATACAACTTCCTTTTCATTCATTTTGAGAGCACCATAAGCAGACCAGGATGTGTTTGAATGATACGGATCAATACTATTTTGGGTTTTCAAGTATTTGGCGTTCAATTGCTTACAAACAATACAAACTTTTGGTTGCTCATGAAATGCATTTTTTGATCAATCACTATTTTTTTTTGACACACCCTGTATACGTGATGTGTATTTTAGCATAAGTCGCATACATTGATGCTTCCACATATATGTCCATATTGAACAGTCAATGATGTATGCTGCATAAGAGCACAAGCGTATCTAAGAGTGTACAGATTACTAAATCTCAAAAACGGTGACTCAATGAATACAAGTGCTTGGACAATTTTTAAGTTGTAGCCTCTGCAATTTTTGCATACGATATTTTCGTGGAGTCTCTTTCCCTTTTAGAGAAACATGACAAAACGTGATATTTTTGACATTTCTACCCAAATCAAAAAAGGATCTACTACAAGGACATATGAGGAGTTTTGATATATTATTCATGATATGTACCAATTTTCAACTTTGTGGGAATTTTTTCAAACCTAATTATTATTTTGACTATATGTGAATGATTTAGGCCATAAAGGTTGTTAGCGCTCGTTGCAATGAGCCATTTTCAAGGTAGCTGCATTTGCTCAAAAATAAATAAAATACATCTTAAAAACTAAACAAGATAACCTCGCACACATAAAGACAAAATATATTGAGAGTTATATGTACAACACAAAAAGGGAATAAACTATAGGAAGTGCCATTTAAAAAAATTAATCCTCGCTACATGCAAATACAATAAAATATAAAATGAGATTTAAATTTATGATTTATTGAGTTATGTTGGTCACCCTGTACATTGAATCGTTTATAAATCTTCAGTATCTGAATAACCAGTAAGATATGGAATATCTCATTTAAAAAGAATCACTGACTTTGGCAGATGCTCCCCCTCAGCAAAAGGGTCCTATAACTTTTTTCTATCTATCATATCATTTTCAATAGGTTGTCCACTAAAATGAAGGAAGGTTTTTCGACCTTTAGTTATCACCTGTTGAAACTGTGGTGAGGCCAGAGTAGACCTAAGGGCTTCCTGGGTATTCTCGTCTACTGCAGGTAGGTGACTTTGCAGTTGTTGGAGTGTCTCCGGATTGTTCAACACCCCTGCTAGAGCGTCGCCGGTCAAAGCTGTAGATAAATCCACTAAAATTGTAAAATATCTTAATGAAGTTCTGGATTGGACACAAATCTATCCACTATCTATAAGAGTTGGTGATGTATATATCACGGCTAGTTAGACAAGATATTGGCTATTAAAGGCGGAAACAAATTATTGTTACGTCAAGCACTGGTAACGTACCATCCGTGATATATATTGCTACGTTCATGGAGAATTTGCCTCTTATTTCTTGTCTTTCCACTCCCAAGTTACCCAAAATTAACATATCTGAATTCAGATCATGTATGATTGCATTATATACTCAGTGTCATTAGAAGTGTTACACCCAGAAAAAAATAATTTCTTAAACTTGTTTTTTTTTGGCAACATAATGACTATATTTAAAGCATGCTGTGGCAACAATGTCAACGTTTTATCTCTGTTTCGTGTTTACCTTTGTTAAAATGTTATCAGTTAGTTTTTGTGAAGAAAGTAGTTTCTGAGAGTAATACAGATATTTTTAGTTATTGCCCTTTCATTTACTAGTGGCATAACAAAATGCCTCGAGTTCCAAGACGTTCAAATTATCACCATGTTAGCGACATTGACAGGGGTAGAATTATTGCCTATCGAGATGTTGGTTTGTCCTATCTCGAAATTGGCCTCCGTGTTAATTGTAGTGCAATGACGGTAATGCGTGTGTAGGTAGAAGAAGGTAGAGGAACACGAAGAAGGCCAACTGGTCCACAGAGGCGTACCACAAGGCGTCAAGATAGGCGCTTCAGACAACTAACCCTACGAGACCGTTTTGCTACTATGCGTCAGATCTTTGCGTACACTCTATCGCCGCATTCGAGCCTTTGGACTTTTTTCATCCAGGTTAGTGCTTCCTCTGATTGCGGACCACTGTCGTCAACGTTTGAACAAAACGTTTTGCTGCCATATCTATAGGGCCGTCTACACGTCCTTTTTCAGCAAGACAATGCACGTCCCCATATTGCTCGTCGTACTACGGACTTTCTTCAAGAAGCAGGCGTTAATGTTTTGCCTTGGCCACCCCGTACACCGGATTAAGATCCCATCAACATGTGTGGGATATGACGGGGAGGAGACTATCCACTTTGCACCATCCGCCGCAGATTCTGCCACAGCTAATCCACCAAATTCTAGTTGCTTCTAATGAGGTGCCACAGCCAGACATCAATCCTCTCATTTTGTCGATGCCTAGACGTATGATAGGAGTGTATTCAGCTGCGGGGTCGCCCAACACATTATTCTTTTATTAATTTCGTGAGAATATCGTTTTATTCTTGATGTAAGACTGCCTCATTCAAAATCAAGTTGAAGAAATTAGTTTTTCTGGGTGTAACACTTCTGTCACTGAGTATATCTTATGTTATTGCGCAAGTTTAATCGATTTTCGTCCATTCTACTACAGAAAATGCCATTGTGTACACAAAACATGATGACCCATCCAACCTCAAAATGTGAAGTGACGGGATGTCAAAGGTATCGCGACATGATAGCACGTGGGAACATCATGCGCAACGTGTCAACGGCATGCTTCTGAATGTTTAAAACTGCGATTACAGGCTTCCATATACTTGTCACGTTTCATGAGATTGCGTATGATAAGTAAGCCACCGTGACAAGGCTATACAAAGACATCCATATACCACTGACATCGTAATATGTATGAGAGAGAATTGCGAGAGGCGTTCAATACGAATTTTAGAAAAATATAGAAGCACCACGTTACCTAGCAGACCGATCTGCGGCTTATTGCCGCGTTGCCATCGGATCTTTCTAACATACGTCTTGCAAGCTTATTGCTCCTGTCTCGTACACATTACTCGTCAGTGATATTTGAATTTCTCTGTATGTACTTCCGCCCAAAGATTAGTTGTATTAGTATAAGTAGTTGGAGACCTTACACTATTTACCTCGATAGTCCACGTTAAAATGTGATAAAAAATATCAGATGATCGTTTAATTACATTTAAACACCCGATATTGTCAACAGGGCAGTACCTCATACTGTTTCCTACTTTTTGGCGACACTTCTGCGTGATTTATTTTGCATGAAGTAATAGAGGTAGGTTCAGAACGAAACAGTGGTTATATCTACTAATACTACCAAGACAGCTAAGAAAATAGTTCTGACACGCTAGTGAACTTCAGCAAAATCGCCATTGGCAATGGCACAAAATTAACATAACGAGAAATCCAAATATCACTGACGTCGTAATGTGTTCGAGAGAGAAGTGCGAGAAGCATGCAATACGTACGTTAGAAAGAGTGCGCCGATGGTAACGCGGCAAGCCGCAGCTGCATCCTTCACCCTATAACATACTCTCCAACATACGTTTTGCACGCTTCTCACGCATCTCTTTCGTACACATTACGACGTCAGTGATATATGGATTTCACTGTGTACTAGTAGAACACTTATATAGACATCAGATATGTTGGAGTATTGTTATAAATAGTGTACTCGCTCAAATAATTACAGCTAGACCCATAATGTCGAATAATTAATTGTATAGGCGGTTGGAGCATGTACGAGTGTATTTCTATTCCTCATGTGCGTCATTGAACCACGTCTATTGTATTGGTTATGGAAGCGCTCCAAGTGAAGTAGCTGGTTTAAGGGTACACGCATTTAAAAGAAGAATTCCAGTTGAGTCGTTATTCGCCCATCTGGACTCTTAGTTGACACAAATATGGGGATGCAAGTGAAACGGGAGTGTCAGTGAAATGAACATTTTCATGCTAAAATATCTATGATTTTATCCATTTCACTTACCAGACTGTTGTTGACCGCCTTCACCCCCGATAGGAGTAATTCCTTGCAGAAAATTTTGCAGATCAGAAAGTTGGATTGTTGATCCTGTGGTTGGAGTATTTTCTGGTCCACGTTCAGTACCTTGACCCTAGAAGTCATTAGTAATATACGATCACGATCTTAATTTACAGAAAGAGAGGGAGAGAGATACCATTTAGTCACTGGAATAATAAAAGCATTAAACGTTTTTCTTAGCTCAACCATTTCTCATAACATGATATTATTATCATACTTATTAGAGTTGTACCGTAAATTATTTCTTACGAATTTTCGGGCCCGTATTTCGTATTCCTGTAGCAGTAGTCAGTTTAATAAGAGTGATTCGGTTTCACTAACGAATTCGGATAATTAGGAGTCAAGTCTATATGTTTAGAATGCATTGCTTGTCACCAAAATTGCGTAGTTTTAGTGCATACTTCTGATTCATTTGTCTACCACTCTTTGCAAATTATGTCTTGCCGTGGTTTAACAGCACAATCATCTGCAAACACTCACCCTTTTAATAAATAACACTAATAAGAATTTAATGACACAACTGTCAAGAAGTTGACTTATGTCAAGTGCACTTTGATCCTCACTACACACTACGATTAAAAGACAAACAAATTCTTGATTTGCTGGTTCTACCTAGTTTGAATTCGAACAGACCCGTTTGGCTGTGCAAATTCAAATATTGCAAAAAACATAAAATTTAATAAACAAAAATATGAAACTAATTAAAATATTCAATTACATTACAAAACTTTAGAGAAAACGACACACCCCAGAAGCACAATACTATGATGTAGAACATATAATAAACCATCTCCAGCGATACGTACATGATATAGACAACACACCATCCATGGCAAGGAATTATAACTTCCAAGGCGAATATCCGAACCCGCGAACACCGGGTTGCTAACTCGGCACGCCGAGCTAGCGCGGCTCCCAGAATTCTTATGATGTGAACCATTAGTTCTGATGTATTTTCAGGCTCTCCCTGATTGCCTGTTGTATGTTGTAGTAGTTTGTGGGTTCAGACGTATAAGTCAGTTCCTTTATATAGGTTCACACATAACCATATCAAGCAGTAGTTAGATCTAGCGACTATAGAAATATGAAGGTCACGAACACGTATTAGAAATGAAGATGATTAGTCATTTATTACAATATAACGATAGATAACTGTACTACGGTTTTGCACTTGTACTGGGGTCTATGGTTTGCGCTAAAGTTTGGTAATGTTCTTGAAAATGTTAATTATAATTCCTTGTATTAAACTTCGTGTTTCTGCAATATGTTGAATTTACGCAGTTACAATATCTTCAACGTGAATCTTCAGAAACGCTACCGCTACTTAGTACAGTGAAACCGAATCATTCTTAGTGAACCGACTACTGTTACAGGAGTCAAAGGCAAGAACATGCGTAATAAAAAATAACAGTTAGCATTTTTTTTCGAACGGGTGGATAATTTTATCAATATCTCACGAAAATCGGATTTTGTTTTTTGTAATTTCAATGACTTTCTACTTGATCTAATATTTTGGGTTATTGACCAAAACATATGATTGTCTCTTCATATGACATGACATAAGAAACTGCAGAAGTAGAGGAAGTTTTTTCAACGATTTTAACGATTTCTATTTTTCCATAAATTCGCGAAAGCCACATAGCACTGGGAAATTTAACCATTCAGTCAACCAACTTTATTTTTTATAACGTGTACGCGATATATGTGCGTAACTCAAACACGGTTCGACTTTGTACTAAGGTATATGTGGCTCAATGTGTTCTAAATGGGGTATATTCCATGTTATCACCACTAAAAAGTATGGTGTCAACCTTCCGAACTCCCTGAATTCGCAAAAATTGAAAGAAATTGGTTGGAGGAATATGGAAAAAAACTGTAAAATTACACTATCTCACTATTTCACATAAATTTATACTGACATCCACTTCATCCTATTTATTTAAAAACTTATATATACGTTGACGAAACATACATTCTCTAAATTTAAGACGCAGGGATAACTTAAGTATACCTTGTCACCATTCAACACTATTCCAAAGAGTTTTTTGTATTACGCTGTAAAATTATATAATCCTATTAAGTCATGTTTCATAATCACATGCTCTTGGTCAGTTGCTGATCCTCTACAAGTTCTTACTACGGAAAACGATGAAGAGCGGAATTTTTCAAATTCAAAAACCCAAACAAAACTAAAAAGGAAATTGGGTTGCCCAAGTTTTCCAATCATATAAAAACTGGACCTCAGCCCCACCAGTGGGTGGAGACACATACTCGGCGCCTTATTTAAAAAATTTAATTACAAGAAGAGTTACTTATTTTGAATGTTTCTGGGTTTGTGGTGTATGATAATATATAAATAAGATTCGAAGAACAAAACAATTACAGGGACACTTCATAAACACTGTCATTAAAAAAAGGTTATGGGGGTCGTCGCGCCATGGGCTGTCACAGTGGGATAGTCATGGGCATTATCGAAGATGTGCACTGCACAGCCGCACTGTAGTCGATAATTATATATCAATACTACCTGTATTCCTCTCAGATACACTGGTTTATCGTGTCATATAACAGAGACATATACTTTTATCGAATCCACATTTCGAAGACGTACTGATTACCAGAATATTTGGAAAAACAGATGTCGCAAAAGAAATTAACATGATTTTTTTGATCTGACCATTTGTCATAGGTTCAAATGTATTGATAATTGTGACGAATAACGGGCAATATTTCGAAATACTAATTCATTTTGATGAGTGTGGAATAATATCATTAACCTGCATTGATTATCTATCGTTATAATTTTCTATAATTGTTGTTGTATCATAAAATCTTGAAATGCGTACTCGAGTATCGTTATGTGAATTCGAATACACATCTCATCTCTAGCCGACAAAGAGGTACAAGAAAGAACGGTTTCCGTTTTACAAACCTTTCTTTTTGTTGTATAATGTCTTCTCTTGTTTCTACCTTTTTTTAAATTTATAAAGTACGGGCAACAGTATATATTCGTCTAAGCCACATTAAAGGTGTTTAAAATAAGTGTAAAGAAGAAAATCATCTCTATTTACCTTGAAGGACGACATGCGGATTAGGTACAGCAGCAAAAACATGTGGTAATGGAAGATAATTAAGGAGCTTCTTGGAATCTACACCTAATTGACAACCGGTATATCCTTTTTTTAATTTTTTTTTATTTGGTTCTATCTACAAGATGAGTTTACGATACTTGTTCCCGATTGCCCATTTTCCATACAGTTTTACGAAAATGCTTTCTAATTGGTCATTGTTGATCCAGATCTCATTTTTGTTCTCCGGATCAAGTGAAACATGTGTTTTTGTAGCTAAACCAGATTTATAAAGAATTTCTTAATTTAATATGGGGATTACACGTCATTGTTACACAACTCGTATATTTTTTCGCTAGTTTGACAAATATTTCTGAAGAAATCGACTATATTTATTTGATCCATTACTACTAATACGCCTTCTCATTGGTCCATTTTGATCCGGATGAAGAATTTTGATCAACACTAAAATCGGGCCTTTGTAAGACCCATACCCTGTATTGCATCAAATTACAATTAAGTATATATACCTTAGTGGGCGCTTGCGGCGTGGCTGTAGGAATCGTGTTTTGAGGCGTGGTAAGGCCAGCAGCTGGAGTGACGCTCGCAGTGCTTTCAGTGGTTGGCGTTGGAGTGCTAGGTACCTGGCTTCGATGAGTTATTGCTGGAGTGGTGTTAGTGCGAGCACTGCCACTATTGGGACCGCTGGAAACAATGCAGTTAAAATTAATATCGACGATAATGGAAAAGTACTGACAGATTACTTTTATCCTATACACACCAGCCATAGAAACACAATTGCAATAAAATAATCCGTTTCTGGCAAAAAACACGGGTAAACTATGCTTTAGCAGATTATCTTCCTTTTTTTAACGACACTCTGCAGCATACTCTACAGTGCGCTTTGTATCAGCTGCCGAGTGCTACAACGTCAGTTTTGGATAATTAGTCGTTCACACATTTTTTGAACCAATTTTCTTTAATTTTACTTTCTTGTCTATTAATAGGTTATGTTTATTCTTGTGCACTTCTCAACAACCTAGGACAGCATATCCCTAATACCAGACAATAGTTGGTATAAGTTGGGACATGAGTGCAAGCTAGATAGCTTTGATATAGAATACTGTTGATCTCAGCAATATCAATTATTTAGCAAGCTTTTCTACAAATTGACTTTCTGACAACATCACACAAAAATATTCTTTCTTATTTAAATTTCTTGTACAAGATTTGGTTTAACTGCCGTGGTTAAGATGAACAGGGTTACTACGCGAATTAAGTAACTACATTTTTATGAAATACAAAAAACCGGCCTGCAGAAAATATTGAAATTTTAATTGTGCTACCAAGGAAAATCTGTAGCATGTGAAGAAAAAATTCAAAGTGGACGTTTGCGTTTAAAATCCGCCATTTTGGTTTTAAAAAATTTTAATATACCCAGTGTTATTCGCACCGTCCAGACAGATTTAGAGCCGTATCGTCAGTCGTTCCTACAATTGTAGGACGCTTTCATGGCCTACTTGATATCGATAATATCATGTCCTCTTCGATATGGTACTTGTATGTCCTGCTTTAGATTTCCGGCATGCTGACAGCTCTGGCTAGGGGTTATGTTGTTGTATTGACGTTTAAGAAATTACCATAATTACCATAATTTTTCTCGCAAAAAATGTCGATCAGTCAATAATACTTCGCTAGATTGAACAAATTCCACAACCTGTTCCACAAATTGTTGGGCTAGGAAAATTAATTCACATGGGTATATTATATTATAATATTATATTTGTATGTATATAAGTCCAGAAGCTTGCAAGGAAGCTTGATGAAGGTAGGTAAAAGTTCAACCAAAACAAATCATCGCATATCCATATTATATACTTATCGCATTATTTTCAGGTGTGATTCATTCTCACATACTTTATGAGATGGTTCCTCCATGGATAAGAAACATTGTATGGCAAGTGCAATTATTGCATTGCCGATGTCAGAGATGCTTTTTCACAAATCATTGTGGTACTCTGGATTGTGTAGAGTGTCAGGCACAAGTATGTATAATGTGTGTATGTGGAGATCATAATTACTATTATTGACCATCGCTATTTCAGGGTGCTCAAAATGTCATGTAGGATTATCAAAAATGAAGTGTTACAGAGAGTAAACAGAAAAACAGAGTTGCAGCATGAAGCAAAATCAGAAAAACTTTATGACAATTCCGTAATTAATTACGAATGGGAAAATAAAAGAAAATTGTGACTCATCAAGGGAATTACTTTCCTGTTAAACAAACTCCAAACAATTCAAACAACTTGATAAGCGGAAAAGACCCATTATGTCGAAAATTGTAATTACCTCAAAGTCAGACTGGGTTAAGCCCTAATAGGTAGTTTTAAGATAATTTCATTGCATTCATAATTCACTCATCATTACCGGTAGATAGATGTTGCAAGTATCAAATTAAAACTCCCACCTGTATCATGAACTTAGCATGTAAGACTCATTTTAGGCAAAAATGAACTTAACCTAACCTGGCTCTGAGGTTCAGAATTTGATTTGTATTTAAACTGCTGGGTATAAATTTTGGATTCAAAACGCTATCAGTAATGGAGCCTTCAGCTACTGAGCATACTTCAGTGGCATCATCAAGAACAAGGAGATCAATGCACTGAGCCTCAAAGAACAATGTTTTATTTATCAAATGTGTTTCACCATATATTAATATTGTAGAATGTGGTATATGAAGAAAAAGTGAAGACAGCTAAATATAAAATATTAATCTCCGACATCAACAATGCAGTTGCACTTGGGATACAATGTTTTTTATCCAACATCTCATAAAGTCTGTGAGAACGAACCACATCTGAAAAAAATGGGATAAGTATATAAATATGAATATGCAATGTTTAAAAATTTTGTAACTTAAAAACTTCATCAAGGAACAGCTTGGTTGTAAGCTGTTAGGCAAATATATATAAATACACATCCATTTGCATTAAATTGTTGATTTTAGATCATTAATACCAGATAAGGGACTTGAAGATACCACAGCCTGACGAATTTGTTCAATGTAGTAAATTATTATTGAATGATCAACATTAGTTGCAAGAAAATATCCTTCGGCATTTGAATCATCTGTCTAAAATTTCTTAAACGTCAAAAAAGAAACATAACCTAACATCATAATTGACTTCTGATTGACAGCAGACTCGAAATCTAAAGTAGGACATACATGTACCTTACCGAAGAAGACAATATTATCGAAATCAAGGCCATAAACGCGCCCGACAATTGTAGGAACGACTGACGATACGGGCCTTAGAGACACCTTGTATGTCAACATCCATTTAGACATTTAAGCTGTAGCCCATGAAATAGATCTTACAAGACCTCATATATCATAATACATCAAGCAACTTGGATTGTAAACCGTAAAATAGAATCATTCTTTGTTCACATACATACGCGCTGAAAACATAACCCTCCCTCTGAAACAGTTGGGTAACAAGTTATTGTTTGGAACATAGAACATATCCATTTCCATACAATTTATAGGCCTTACGCTTACCCACGATCTTACGTAACTTATTTGTTATTTTTTCGTTTTATTTTATAGCACCAGACTTTCAGAAGTATGTTCATTGTGAATCAGTGGTTAGATATATTTAACGACTGACGATACGACCTTTAGTGGCGCCATCTCTTGCAAGGTGAATGTAACTGTATAGGGCGAAAACGGTGGTTATATGGGACTGATTATTTTTAAAAGCGCTAAACGAGACATTAGGGTGTTTAAATTGCTTATCTGAATTATATTTTGTGATTTATAGAAAACAGGTCAAACATAAAATACAAATATGTACAATATTCAATGGCAGCAAGGACGGACGCGTGTTTTCACTTTTCTTTCCAATAATTCTCTCATCTACAGAACAATCTCTTTCATAAACCTGAGGTAGGATTCAATCGTCAAAGTGTTCAGTTTCTGGGTGCCTGTCGCTGGTACCCATTACTGGACTATACCGTGTATTTTCTTGGATTTAAAGTTACTACTCTAAAATTCCGATTGCATCCTTTGGCGAAGAAATATCGATTTTTACGAACCATTCAGGAAATAATTTATTTATCATTGATGGATTATATGCGGAGGTAAATTAGGATTTTAACTGAATAACGGACCTGTATCGCAACCATCAAAGAAATTGTTGTGAAGGTTTCTCACAAAGTTGGGGTGTGTCGCGCATCAGTGTTTAATGTGTTAAGACAATACCAAAAAAATCACACCTTTTCTGAGCCAATGACCAGTAAACATCGCAAAAGTATTGTTAAATCATTTTTAATTAATTATTGACATTTTTGAACCCATTTTGGCAAAACCTATTCAAGAATCTACTTTCTGACAATGTTCAACTATGCACATTTTTTTACGTTTTGAACGTTTTAATTTGGTTACATATTTACCTAGAAATCAAAAAATATACTAATCAAGATTCTAAAAGCAATTTTAAGAGATATACGATTATTTTTAATTTAGGCTAATTTAAACGCCATTTTGAGATTATATTCGACTGTATTTCACCAAACATCAGGCGGCATCCGAAGCTGGAAATCGAAGCGAAAATTTTGAAACCCTTATGTATATTTACATCATTATATATTTCTTACCCCACCCCCACATGATCCTATATCCATCACCAATCGTATACACATCGAATTGTGCTAATTTACTACAAAGTTACGCAAAGCAGCATCTACTATCTAAAATATGTACTGCGTGACTCTTAATACGTCCCTGCCGAATGTTACAGCGTTCGATGATCACGTGGTCTTGTTTATGTCCGGTCTATCTCTTATCTGAATATACTGTAGTAAGGTGTATGGTCCATCCAAGACCAATCAGCGTTTCCCCCTTACTTATTGATAAACAGGTTCTTAATGTGCAGAATCGTGGGACTATTTCTTGTACAATAAATTGTGTAAATCTAAAAGCTGTCGCTTTTTATGCAAAACCATATTATATTCAAAATCTTGCCCCAAAAATTTAACCAAAACTTGTACAACAAATTATGCAATCTAAAACTGTGTTTCGTGTCTATTCATCGGGTAAATTGCAGGAAAACAATCACATCAATGGGTCCTCATTGTCCGAACGGTGCAACGGACGACATTTACAGTCATGTCAAACGGCTTGAGGTCACGTCATTTTTTCTTTCTCAGGTGTTCTAGTTCTATACAGCCATCTAACCAAATGGAACGACATGGTCGATTTTGGACTAAATGAATATTGAATCCCCATCTACATTGCAGAAAATGATTCGAGCCGCTACGTTATCGTATTTGTAATCCAAATGTCGTGTCTGTATAACGTATATATCAAAGAAGTTATATTCGCCTACTCATTAGAAAACACTGTGATTTGAGAAACAAGAACTCTGTTTCAGTCAAGCTATCAGTCATTTTCTGTAAAACATTTTTCAATTTTTTAGAAGCAATTATCTGCAATCAACAAACTTGTGTCTTACCGAATGGTTCCCAGAAGACTTGAAAGTCCTCCCATTTGTCCAGCTCCACTGAAGAGCTGCATCAGCTGTGACTGAGACATGCTATTCAAAAGCTGCTGAAGATCTCTCTCCGGGTTGTTTGCAGATTGTACAGCACTTGATGGGTTGTTCAACAGTTCATTGATTCTTTTGCAGTTGTCCTCGTCTTTGTCTACTTTGGGTTCCTAAATCACATAATTTTGTTTATGCACCATATTAGATAATATAACAAAATAGGACTCTTACCTGAATCCAAAAGAAGAATTTTTTTGTAGATGATTTGAACTTAAGCAAGTATGCACGTCCAGTTGTGCATTGTGGAACCTTCACATATTCACAGTCGTCAGGAAATATGATCAAGTCATCTTCCACAATACCTGGAATAAATCAATTGTCATGTTTTTCTTAATACCACCTTTCAGATTTATAAATAGGCTATGTACACTTATACCCATACAATTTTGCAATTTTTTATCCACTGAGGTCAAGCTATTCTAGACATATTCGTATTATTATGAACCTCTTAACCAACATTTTTCCTTTTTAATATAAATATGATATTTTGATGCTGCGACATCTATATGTGCATTACGCATAACATCCTGCAGTTAGGAGCCACTAGAGTAGGGGTCTTCCATCACTTTTCATCGTTTTGGGTGAGGATGAACTCTTAGCGCGGGGACCCCTAAAGCTGGCTCAGGATCAACCGGAGGTACCACCCGGCGGATCACGTAGGCGGGGCCAGAATGTGTGCATGCTGCATGCACACGTGTTCCCTTGCCAGAGTCCGTATGCCGTAACCCTCTTTTCCCCTGCATCCCCCTATAGCCCCACGCTACCCTATGGGTGTTTAGGCCTTAGGCCTTCGTGGAAGCTGGAGTATATAAAAAAAACTGGGCAAACTATTTGTATGGGGGAGATCATCAGATTTTTCGCCTAACTCCGCACAGTATTTAAAATTTTAGTTCAATTCTATTTTGGCTCATAACTTTATAACAAATAAATATTACGTAGCCGTGCCATAAGTTCTGTCCCATGATAATCTCATGATAAAAATGAAACAAGATAAGATATATTTATATGAAAGATATTATTTATTCGACAACATTTTTAGAATTCATAATCAAACAGTTTTATTCAAAATGTCCCCCCTTGGCCTTCACACACTGCTTCAATCTCGCGGGCCACTCATCTATCACTGCACGCACAGCTTCCAAAGGAATAGCTGCCGCTGATCGGATCAAATCCGCTTTCAGGGACTCGATATTACGGTGGGCTTTGGAGCAGGCCAACTGCTCTAGCAGGTCCCACAACTTGTAGTCTAAAGGATTGAGGTCCGGACTCCCTGAGGGCCAATCTTCCGCAGCAATGAACTCTGGCACATTGCTTTCCAGCCAGCGCTGCGTACTCTTAGCCTTGTGAGCGGGGGCGGAATCCTGCTGGTAGACCCAGTGTTGGTTGGCAAACAATGTACCACTTAAAGGCTTGACGATAGGATCCAGTATGTCGCTCTGATAGTTTGCCGCTTTTGTTTTCACGCCCTGTTTACAGAAATGGAGCTGAGTGACCCCTTCGTAGGACACCCCCCACCAAACCATGACTGACGCAGGGTGATGGCCTCTCTCAACTCTCGGAATGATCTCCGAAGCTTCCTGTGAACTCCTTGCATACACTTTGTCATTTTGTCGGTTGAATTTTTCTTCTATGGTGAAGATTTTCTCATCCGTGAACAAAATCTTTCGGAATCCCCCAGCTGCGTACCTCTCCAAGAGCTTCTTGGATCTTGTCGCCCTGATGTGTCGCAAGGTGGCCGTAAGTCGCTGGCCCGTACGTCTCCGGTAAGCCCCTAGCCCTAGGTCTTGTTTAATGATGCGCGACATCGTCCGGACAGGAATCTTCATTTCCCTGGATAGGATCTTCTGCTTCCGGAGTGGATTCCTTTGAATCCTGGCTTTTACGGCTTTGATGGCTGCTGGAGTCCTTACTTGACGAGGTCTTCCGCTTCTTGGCCTGTCATCAACAGAGGACGTCTCATTGTACCGCTGAATGGTCCTAGACACAAATTTACGCGATATTTGAAGGCCGCGTAAGAGTTCAAAAATCTGACTAGCACTGTGATTACACTTATGTAAAGCTATCACTGCAATACGGTTCTCTGCCTTGCCCCACTCCATCGTTATGCTTCGAGAGATCAATACAAACTGAGGTATATGTAATTACCCGAAAAGCGCTTAATCAACTGACACCACAATGTAAACAATCGGACAAGTATTAACAGGTCTACACTTGTTTGAAAACGAGGGACAGAACTTATGGCATGACTACGTACATCCTATAGTTTTCACCACTTTGTAGGATTTATTGATCATTTTTTGAATAAACAGACAGAAAAATGGTATTATCATTGGATTTGGAATTTTAGGAAACATATAGCACTATGTTAATGGGGCGACGCTCATCGGCTAAAAATATAACAAATTTGACAGAACTTCGCCATCGTAAGAAGCGCGCTTTAAAGGAGGGGTTTCGCAGGGTGTTTTAGGTTAAGAAAAAAATGAAACTTCAATCATTCAAATGAACCGACTGACGCTTTATGATAAAAGAAGTTATTCTCAAAACCTATATGTAATCTCATAGCTACGAGGGATGTCTTTTAAGTTTTGCATATGGAAATAAAACAACACGGTAGGTAGTTTTAAATGACTTTATTGTTTTTCGAAGTATTCTCCACGAAGACTAATACACATCTGCATGGAACCTTTGACCACGCAGTTTGTTTTTAATTTTGGGGAAAGCAAAGATATTTATTTATTTATTTATTTTCTGGTTCATAACAGTAAATCCACGATTCATCACCACTAACAATGCTGTAGACATTTTTTGAGTTTTCGGAATTGAAACGGTCAAGCGTTTTTTGACACCAATTAACCCAGGCTGCTTTCTGCTCTTCAGTCAACAGGTGGGGTATCCAACGAGAAATTAATTTTCTTACTCCTAATTCATGTAAAATTTTTTGAACTGAGGTCTTTGAGATCTTCAAGGACGCCTCAATCCCGCGATGTGCCACATGTCTATCTTCAATGATGAGTTTGCGCACAGCATCGACGTTTTCCTGGGTGACTGCCGTTTTTGGTGCACCCACCCTGGGATCGTCGCTAAGACTCACCCGTCCACGTTTGAATTCTCCATACCAACGGAAAATTGTCGACTGATGTGGCGCTTCGTTGCCGAAAACAGACAATAACTCAGCAAGGCATTCTTGTTGCGATAATTGCCTCTGAAAGTTGTAATAAATTATGGCGCGAAAATGTTTTCGGTTGAGTTCCATTTTTCTAATGACTTGCTGACACTTAAAAATTCACTGTGGTGAGAACGCTGCACGTATTGATGTGAAACTTTGAATTTAAGTTTACTAAAGAGTGAGGTTAAGATTCAGTACTGACGTTCGATCCGCGCGGCCTACTATGTTTCTATATGCAAAAATTAAAAGACATACCGCGTACTTAGCTTTTATGGCCCTACGCGGAATATCTCACGATTTAGCTTAGGGATCATTCAAGTATTAAATAATCTTTGCTTTGGTTATTTTTGATGACATGGGGAATAGAGGGTCTGGGTAGTGAGCAGAATTTTTTTTACTTTTTTTGATTCTCTACAAATTTTAGTTTATTTCGTGAAGACAATGATGTCGATATTCCAGAATCACAAGAAAGTGAGCAGGCACACAACATCAAGCAGCAAACATCCAACATTGAAAACTTAGGAGTCATGGATGAATGCCATGGAAGACTGTTAATTTGAATTTATATAACAAAATTTTTAAGAAAAAAACAAATAAACATGTTAGTCATTAGTATATTAAGATTATAATGATTGCATGTCAAAAATTTGCTTGAATAAATATTATGGGCATTAAATTCCTCTATTCTAACACTATTTGTCTTTTCTAGACTTGATAAATGCTGCTTATGAATCAATAAGAAAACCAGAATAGATTGAAAAATATATGTACCAATGTTTACGTAAGCATAGAAGGAGGGGGGTGGGACGTTAGGAGATGTGCTTACTTTTGCTGAAAAGGGGAATGGAGGGTTGATAGTTATAAAAAATAGTTACTTAACACTTGAATGGCCAAATTGCATAATTGCCCAATCATTTATTTTGTTTGATATGGTTACCAGTTATCTAGACAGTCTCCCCTTAATGCGCCCGCATATTCAGGGTGTGGCATGACTTCATGTCTGTATGCGACCATTGTGAGCAAGAAGGCCTTTAAGCACTAAAATCTTGAATGTGGTGTTCAACTAACTTAACTGAAGCACTAAAAGTACAGCTTTTTCAGTTGGTCAAGGGGTTGGTGTGACCCTCAGAGATATATCGAAAACCAATATCTGGAGACTATGGCATTCTCAGGGGAGTTTTTACGGTTTCCAAGACCGTCCGAAAGGGAGCAGGCGGATAATCAGACAATAAAACATCTGGCCATCCCTCCGTCAACGTGCAATCCTTTGCACCTTTCACGCAGTGGTCCTGTCCGGCTAGTCCTGGCGGATCTAGGCTAGAGGGTCCCGAAATGCTCTCTGTTCATGGGTAACAGCCTTACCAGTATCAGTGCGAGCTCTCGAGGATCACTTCTTGGGAAATCGCACTACATATCAGAAGCAAACTGAAGACCCCTATAAGCCAAATTGTTATGCGGCCCGTGCTGAGAGCTGAACGACACCGAGGGAAACAGTGTTTTGAACGGAGCCTTCTGGGAACCAGGGGGCATCCGGACAGAATTACTTCTTACCGTCCTAACGGGCCACTGAGAGAATGGAGAATGGAAACGAAGAGGAAATGGAGCCGGAGACGGACAGGTACTCTTTTGAGGGAAATCCTGAGGAAGGCACTGTTGGAGAAGTTAATTCAGGACACGACAGCGATGGATCTGGCGGGACGCAAGGGACCGCTGCATCTATTTCTGCAGGCGTCAGTGGGAAAAGACTGCAGAAAGAACAATGGCAGGCAGAAGCTTTGAGGAGCCCAAAGGTGGAAAATCTGGAAGGCTAGGAAAATGGAAGAAGGGACTTGGACGGACCAAAGTCCGTACAAGGACCCCCGCCATAAAGAAAGCCAAGGGGAGTAAAGGACCTCTAGTCAAAGTTTCTACGGCACAAACAGTCCTGAATGAAGCTGTCAAGCGATAAAATACCTCGAGAGGATTCAAAGACAGACAAAAAAAACACTGAAAGACAGTACAAAGGGACTGCCATATCTTAGTGTAGGCAGCTTCAGACTGGTTGGAGGTAATTGACAGACGCCACCTGGACATACTCCTTGACCAGAAGCAAGCGGATCTAGTCATAAGAGGATTGTACGGCACGAGGAGAGTACGAGAACTCGTCCTCTACAGTTACTCAACTCCACGTTTAATTGAGGGGTCCTTAGGATGATCTGCGCTAATTAACCCACTAAGGCCCCCTGGCTTCGGGAGGCAGTAGCATCTCTGGGGCAACTGTGGGAGGGTGCGGATTTAACTACGGTTGAATCCAGCAACTTGGGAGGTTAAACTTTGACCTAAGTGCTGGATGTTGGCATCTCTTCCGCTCTAAAATACAGGTGCGCAAGGGAGTGACTGTCGTTTCCCATCGACGAGGTGTCCTTCAGGGTCCTGTTGAGCAACCGTCTGCGGGCCTTTGACAGGTTCGGAAGGGTAGTCTTCAGGGTGCTGATGGGGACGAACCTCCATCACAGTAAAATTGCCTCGGCAGCTCTTACTGCTGCGATGAGAGAATTTGATGTGGCAACCCTGGTTAAAAGGGAACAGGGTTGTGGAACTTAGGGACAGGAGGAGAACTGATCTATAGTAGATGGCCCGCCAACCCAAGAGCGTGCATCCTAGCCAGGAAATACTTAAATATACTGCCACTGACGAACTTCACAGCGAGGGATCTTGTCGCAGTAAGGATTCAATCTGGGAGTGGAAACTCGCCGAGTTCGTTAACACTTGAATCGGGGTATGTTCCTTTTGATAGTCCAGATCCACCACCAACCAGGAAAGTGGAAGAGCTAGTGAGATGCTGCAGAGGCAAAAGATCTGAACTTATCATTGGCTACGATGCAAATGCACATCACTTGACCTGGGGAAGTTCTAACACCATCTATAAAGGTGAGTCGCTCCTTCAATTTATTATCGAAAATAATTTAGACATGAAATATTAGGAAATAAACCCACTTTTGTTAACTCGACGAGAGGAGGTAATCGATATAACTATTGCGACATCTTTTATTTGCGAGAAAGTTAAAAACTGACACGTGTCTGATGATGTGTCATGCTCGGATCTCAGACTCATAAACTTTAGCATAGGGGACCTAGATCCTATCAAAGTAACGTACCGAAATCCTCGGAGAACAGATTGGGCAGGGTACAGGGCCTGTCTGGACCAAAATCTGGACCAGACTGCGGATTGCTTAAACGATACGACAGAACTTGAAATTATCAGCGGGATAATGCTCTGGTAAACAGCCTTTTCCATTCTGACTAGTATGCCTATACAGCGGGTAAATCGACAGAAACGGTGCTACATCAGACAGCAGAATATGCCCTAGAAACAAGGAAGTGCAAGCGCTTTCGACAACACGTCTCTGGACTCAATCTCCATAGCAACGAGGAGAATTAGCCTTGATGAAACAACATCCAGGTGGAAAGACGGCATGCTAAGAGAAAGATTGATATACACCATTGTCACGGAAGATACCTTAGCGGCTCAAGTAACCCGAGGATGTCCTATTCCTCTAGAACGAGGTAGCGAATGAGTTAATAAGGAAATAGACCAAGATGGACAGAAAACGCTAGGATATGCGGATGACCTCGTTATCCTATCGCAAGGCAAATTCAACACCACAGTGAGAGACAAAATGCCAAGCGCTCTGAATGTGGTCACAACATGGACGTCAAACAAGGGTTAAAGACCACATAGTTTCCAAATTTATATTCAAACGAACATCGAGAGCAAAATAGGAGATCGAAAAAAACACCAAAGGCACAATCTGCAAGAGGAAGTTACCTGGTACACTGACGGGTCAAAAACTGAGCAGGGAACATGTGCAGGTATATATGGGAGCAGGTGCAATCGTGGGCTTAGTATACCACTGGGAAGACACACCTCTGCATTTCAGGCAGAAGTGTATGCAATCTTGCACTGTACAAGAGTAAATAATGAGCGAGCATATATAAAAAAAAAGGATCGCCGTATACCCTGACAGTCAGGCGTCACTCAGAGTGTTAAGAAGTCCTAGAGTGACATCTGCACTGATCTGCGAATGCCAACAAGAACTGAACACAACAGAGTGACTCTGACATGGCTGCCTGAACATTCAGGTAACGCAGAAAATGAACGGAGGGATTAGCTCGCAGGGAAGCGATTACCGGAAATGAAACAGAATCCACCATACATGTCTCATGTGAGTGCGAGGCGCAGGATCACAAAAGACAATCAACTCTTTGTGAAACCAAAACTTGAACCAAGGGAGTTTAGAATATTACTCGCAGGAAAACTGTACCAACTGGTTCAGAACAATGGACTGCTGGATTGGGTACTGTAGGCTAGAGGATGCTCAATAAGCCATAGAGACTGCAGTACAATCTGGAACTTTGGTCATACGGCTCCCCAAAATAGGAAAAACAGCCTTTCCCCAAAAAATATGGATATGTAGCTGAAAATATAGTCATGTCCATATTAACACAGATGTTTGATCAGCCTAAATAGGAGCAATCTTTGTTCTTGTTGACAAAGAGTATGAAGGAAAGATGCTAAAGCTATTAACAAATAACTTGGAAACCTCAGGAACAAATATCCATATTTTTCTTATTCAACTCCATCTAACACAAATAATTACCAACAGATTATCAAAAAATGTAAATCTTGCAGATTATTTCTTTTTCCAAGACTGAGAATAGACAAAAAATGAAAAACTAATCACATTATTTTATAGCTATCTCAAATGCAAGAAATATAATATGTGTACTGTGTTTTATAGCATGCACTGCTTGTCTAATCAATCAGGCTGCAACCACAACATCAACATAAGTATCTTATTGATGACACATACACCCTATTTCACAAGCATCCATTATGTTTTAACATCTACTGAGATGAACATCTGATCAGCAAGTGACATCTTTGTACTAGTCTGTAATGTTGGCAATAATAAACCAGGTGTAAATATAATAAAACTTAGGACAGTATTCATTTTGTGTATGTGAAGAAACTTTTCTAAACAGCTATTAGCTAGTATAAACTGAATCTAGTGTACAAAAAACCTCAACAAAATATGGCTCTGTTGATCTGGTGTTCATGGATCCATCAGAACTGTGGGTCACTTGTTGCTATGGGGAATTTTGAAGTATTACTAGACATAATGTTATTCTGCCATAATGAATACTCATGAAAAAGACTTTAGGTATCGGTTTATTACTGTGAATAATTATTCTAATGTAATTTAACCACCTTTGTATATTTTGCTGCCTTCTATTCTTGATTATTAGTTTCTAGTTGGTTAATCAGCTCTATTTACCCAGATGGTAGACAAAGCTAGAATTTTAGTTCCTTTGCACTGCACTGTGTCAAGTGACAATAGTTTATGGTTTGAAGAATGGGTTCACTTAATTAATGTTTATTGTAGAACTGACATATACACTATTCTTACTTCAAGGATTACATTTCTGATCTAAGCTAGGTTTTACACTTTAAGCTCTTAGGATTAGGGGAAGGTGTAATGATAGTGACCTTGTTGCCACAAAACATCAAGATGGATAAAAACCCTATTCATACCTGTAGTGCGATCTTGCCAACAAAAGTGCATCAAAGAATCCTCACTTTGGTAAACATAAAGGAGTCCCTTGCGCTTATCTGGATAAACCATACGGCCTAAAAATACATATATTTTTGTAGAAATATGTTATACACAGCATCATACAGGAAAGTACCTCTTAAATTCATTTTTCCAGCGCGTACTTCGATCAAGTGCTTATTGCCTCCCGTAGACCCTGGCCCAGCGGTGGCACTACCAAATAATGCAGTTCCTGCAGGCATATTTGCTTTTTTACCTGAAAATTACAATCTCGGTATACTAGAAAGTTAGGTTTAGGGCATGGAGAATCACACAATTCAATAAGACTACAGTTAGACACGTAGATATGGAATTTCTTTATATCCAAAATTTGACTTACCTCTCTTTGTAAAGATCCAAATGAATAGCCTTTTTTTGTTTTTAGGATTGTGATTGTGACTGTGCAAAAACTATTCACAAATCACCTGTACAAAACACTAATACAAGAATTGACAGACGTGTGACTGCTGACTGACGTTGACGTGTGTAACGGTAGAATCCCGAGCCGCTTTCCAGTGACTCATTTGTGTTATGCGGGTCCCACACGATGGTTCCAACGTTTTATACAATTGTTGGTGGTTTGCACCGGTTCGGGTTAAAGTGAGGGTTAGCGCTAACTTCAAGTTAGTCTTTGCACCGTCATAGTTATCTCGGAGTTAAGGCCTAGCTCTGGGATAAATTTACGTCTCACTTGAACTAGGTCTTAAGGCGGATAGCACCACAAATCACAGAATATACTTTTAAGATACGAAACCACCACCATGAAAATGTAGAGTAATAGCTGGGCATGGCAATTCGTACTGACAATAAAAAGAGGTTAAGACTTAAATGTCAAGTGACGTTCTTTTAACGCTTACGGAACCAAATTTGTGACTGCTTAAAACTCTCTAATATTGGTTCTTGTGACTGTTTGTTGGGCTGTTTAGATTTCATTCGAGAGGAATAAGGTCATCCTCGTCGAATTCTTCATTATTTATGGTTACGTCCTTAGTTAACAGGGTGCTTGGTGGACAATCCTGTCTGCTGTATGATGCGACTTGTCGATCCACAGCAAAAAATATTTTCTTCTTCCAAACAGAATCACAAATATATACAAGGGATGCCTTTTAAGTTTTGCATATGAAAATAAAACAACACGGTAGGTAGTTTTAAATGACTTTATTGTTCTTCGAAGTACTCTACACGAAGATTAATACACATCTGCATGCGCTCCAACCAATTTTCGAAGCACTTATTCGACTCGTTTGCTGGCAGATCCAAAACGGCATTTTTGAATGCGTCAACTGCTTCTTCTGGTGACTGGAACCTTTGACCACGCAGCTTGTTTTTAATTTTGGGGAAAGCAAATAAATTTACGTTAGGACTTAGATCGGGACTATATGGAGGATGGTCCAATAACTCCACGTTTTCTTCCGTTAAATACTGTCTTATTTTTTTTGCTGTGAGCGAGCTTGCATTGTCTTGGTGGAGGATGATTCTTCTTTCAGGGTTGATTTTTCGAAGCTCGGTGATGACTTTTGCCAAACAAATGGTGGTATACCAATCCGCAGTAACAGTTCTTTGCTCATTAAGAGGAATTTTTGCAATATGACCCGCTTTTGACACAAATGTCGCGACCATCTTTGTCGAAACACTTCGAGAACGGATGACTTTTGTTGGCTTTTCTTCACCTTGGAATACCCAAACAGCCGACTGTCGTTTATTTTCTGGTTCATAACAGTAGATCCACGATTCATTACCACTAACAATGCTGTAGACATTTTTTGAGTTTTCGGAATTGAAACGGTCAAGCGTTTTTTGACACCGATTAACCCTGGCTGCTTTCTGCTGTTCAGTCAACAGGTGGGGTATCCAACGAAAAACTAATTTTCTTACTCCTAATTCTTTATGTAAAATTTTTTGAACTGAGGTCTTTGATATCTTCAAGGACGCCTCAATCCCGCGATGTGCCACATGTCTATCTTCAATGATGAGTTTGCGCACAGCATCGACGTTTTCCTGGGTGACTGCCGTTTTTGGTGCACCCACCCTGGGATCGTCGCTAAGACTCACCCGTCCACGTTTGAATTCTCCATACCAACGGAAAATTGTCGACTGATATGGCCCTTCGTTGCCGAAAACAGACAGTAACTCTTTAATTCACTGTAGTGAGAACACTGCACGTATTGTTGTGAAACTTTGAATTTAAGTTTGCTAAAGAGTGAGGTTAAGATTCAGTACTGACATTCGATCCACGCGGCCTACTATGTTTCTATATGCAAAACTTAAAAGATATCCCTCGTATATTATATATATTTGTGATTCTGTTTGGAAGTTGGGAATTTGAAAATATTTTATCCAGCCAAATCAAACACATACGATAATCGAAAAAATAGCATAGAAACTGAATACGAAACACAATTACTAAAATGTCAAAATATACGTCAATCTTTCAAATCCCAAGCACAAATCAACAAACTTTTAGCACAGAACTAGCCTTTGTGGCAATATTGCCAATAAAAGTGTTAATTCTAAGAAATATCCCAATATTCCAAGCTTGCCAACATGATCAAAAGTGGGGGTTTATAAACCCAGAGTAAGCCTTGACGGTGCAAAGTCACTCGAATTTAACCTGGGGTTACCGCTAACTCCGAGTTAAGTAACCCTCACCTTTAACCCAAAGCGGTGCAAACCACCAGTTGTGTACATGTACAACGTTGCTTACAATATTCGGCACCCCACAATTGGCAAGTGTGTCTCCGACACTGGGATGAACTTTTTAGTCTCGCACGTTTATTATCGGTGTCAGAGTCGCGCTTGAACATTTACAACTAAGGGAAAAAATATACAAAATGAACGAAGAAACACTTTTTTCGAGCCCCGAAAAATAATTTCAGATCTGTCTTCAGCAACCAAACCTTAAGTCTGTCAGAAGCCTCAGAAATGTCGAAAAACGAAGTTTGCCCGTTTTACGTTTGTTTTTCGACGATAACTCCGCCGCCACTGTACCGATTTTCAAAAACTGCAAACCTTTTTCGGCATTTTCATAGTAGTGACCTAGGGTCAACATTTCATCAAAATCCTGATAGTACTGTCAGAGTTATAATTTGTTTAATCGTTTTCGTTAGTTATGAAATGCAAGTCAATATATTTCTCAACTACTCTTTCATTGCAACAGGACATTATAATGAGACAACTGTAAGCACTTGATAATTTATAATTTACTGCGAAACGTATAAGATATTAGCAATATGAAAAAAGCCTATGCTTTGTATGTATACTAATTTAATTCGTTCTCCTCAAAAGTTAGTTACGGGACATACATTATTATGGATAGGTAGGTATTCAAATCAAAATACTTCCCACATACCACTACTTCACCACAATCACAGCAAACAAGTAAATGATTTTTTTGGACGCAACTGGTTCTAACCTAAAGCACAGAGTGCTACCAGACATATTTATCCAGACGCTTTATAATAAAAAATGCAGACCTCTGACGTGTTGCGCCATCATTCTAAAAATATCATCAGGCATCAACTTTATAGTCTGACCACAGCCATCTTCAACTAATTGAAGAAAGCTGTGGTATGACAGTACTTCTGAAAATCACGGCAAAATGAGTTTATATTTTCATTGTTTGGCAATGTGATACAAATTGTTAACGTCAAAGCCAAACATCAAAAAAAGGTTAGTTAGGTTTTTATAACGCGTTCCCGTGAACATTTGCTAGAGTAGTTCGAGAGCTTCACACTCTGAGTGCATATAAAACCGCTCCCACACGATGTGGCGAATGCCTTACAACATTGGACACGTGGCCATTCGCCACATCGTGTGAGAGAGCGCTGACGGATTACATGTGTCCAACGTTTGCCACATGGCACGTTCGGACTCTTGTTGGTAAATTTGACCCGCGCCAAAGGACCTTACAACGTTGGAAGCATGGTTCGTTACGCTCCCACACGAGATGTCATGTGTTTGATAGTTTTAGGTTAAAACCAGTAGCGGCATAAAACATTATTTACTTGTTTGCTGTGATTGTGGTAAAGTAGTGGTATGTGGGAAGTATTTTGATTTGAATATCTACCTATTCATAATAATGTATGTTCCGTAACTAACTTTTGAGGAGAATGAATTAAATTAGTATACATACAAAGCATAGGCTGCCATAACAACACTTTTTTCATATTGCTGATATTTTGTACGTTTTGCAGGTGAGTTAAGGATATGTATTTTAGTGAATTATAAAATATCAAATGCTTACAGTTGTTTCATTATAATGTCCTGTTGCAAAGCCAGACTAGTTGAGAAATGTATTGATATATACTATAAGGATTTTGATGAAATTTCGACCTACTATGAAATTGACGAAAAAGCTCTGCAGTTTTAAAAATCGGTACAGTGGCGGCGGAGTTATAGTCGAAAAACAAACAAAAAACCGTCAAACTTCGTTTTTCGACATTTCTGATGTTTCTGACAGACTCATGTTTTGGTCGCTGAAGACAGATCTGAAATTATTTTTCGGTGCTCGGAAAAATTGTTTCATCGTTCATTTTGTATAATTTTTCGTTCAGTTATAATGGTTCAGCGCGACACACGTTGGTGCCACCATGCGTCGAACGTCCGAGACTAAAAAGTTCATCTAATCGTGTAGGAGACACATTTGCCAATTGTGGGGTGTCGATCGTTGTAAACAACGTTGTACACAACGTTGTATACAACATTGGAAGTATCTTGTGAGACCCACATAATACTGAATTCAAAAGCACTGGAAAGCGGCGATGGAAGAGTCATAATTTATCATGTGACGACATAGCTAATGGATGGTATATAGAGTCCTGGCAGGCATCACTTGACTCGATGCCGGTAATGTAGTTTCTATGATTCTGCTTGAAAGGATGAGCTTGGTGTCGCCAGTATGATCATAAGACGGTTCACCCCTTGGTCCAAGGTAAAATAAATCTTGCAAATTACAATTCATATGTATATCAACCTTCCATGTTCCCATCTGTCAAGTCTGGGAATTATCTATGATTTCGCACTGCATACAGAATCGCAACCAAAGTTGATAGGTTGGGCGGGTGATCAAAAAGAAACGTCTCTGACTTGAGGTTTATTCCAATACAGACGTTCAAAGCGAAACGTGCATGCGCATTGCAAAAAATTAGTTCCTGCAGTCCATGTTCCACAACCGTACTGCGTAACTTAAAAAGTTTTTATGACATTTTTTTGACATTCATGTTTAAATTATATAGTTTTTTTAAGTAATAACCCTGCCGATTTTAAAAAACCTCAAAAAACGATAAATGTCATCTCGCAGCGGCCTAGGTAGTGTTTGGATGATTATATGTATTGGTTTGCATGTGTATAAAATCATTGGTATTTGCTATGTGAGAAAATTATTACTGAATATGCTGCCAATGAAGTATATCATTAGCTGTATGTGAGGGGTTATTTATAGGTTGTTCTTTCTGGAGAGGGGTTGTGATCAACGTTATATATTATGATTTTCCCCGATTTTTGAGGTTTTAAAACCTTTGACAAGTATTACGGGTAATCAGCACCGTGCTCGCGTTGTGTTTAATATCAAGCCACATCACAGAAAAATAGGAATGATATTGATTTGAATTTTCTACTTGACATCGTAAAATAAATTTCAATAACATTTAAATGACTGCAAAATAAAAATGAATGTGAAATGTAATAACTGTTTTACGTTTCATAAATATTCCTGTCTGTAGCATATTTTCGTATCTGTTACTTGTAATTTACTTCACCAATCAGGGATTTTTTTCTTGTCTCTCATTTTTGAATCTTATCAAATTTGCATATGTATTTACCAGAATGCATAAGAAAAAGTGGATGCGCAACTAATTTCTATCTTTGAATGCAACTCATATAAGTGTATTTGTGACATATGAAACCAATGCAAATATCATCGACACTAATTGTTAGTACACTAATCCTCATTATGCACCTATGTACTGCCGTTACCTTCCAGCTATAGTATACAACTTACAGCTTAGACCTCCAATAATGCCATCTCTGAAGCAGATGTTACATCGCATCAGTGCCATACATTGATAGCTGGAGCATCTTGACGTTTAGGCAACAGGTACAGCTACAAAACGAGTTCACAAGTATACAACAGCTAGTGCTAAGTTGACATTTTGTAGAAAAACCTACGTTATGTTGGTTATGTCACAAAAACCTGCAAAATGTACAAAAAATGATAGAAGTCACTTTTCAAGATACGTATAATACCCTAGCGAGGATGCTTTGTATTTTGTTTTGCGTTTATTGCCTGTTTGGTGAGTGTCTATGTTTTGTGCCGTTTGGTCAGTGTCTGTTTTACATTTCAAAATAATCATTTTGTACTTTACTACTGTGTTTTTTCATTTCATTTTAACGTGCAATCAAGAATCATACATGGTTCTATGATTTGCAAAAACTAAATTGAATTCGCTTCACAACCACAACACCATGAGTCAAAATGTTTTGTAGGTTATGAGTAGACAGAACTTGTTCCAGCAGGGGTGCGCTTGTAAACTACTGGGTAATGTAATACAGTACACACAGTAATGGAATATAGATTGACAGATGAAATTTTATTATTTACGTTTTCTGTCACCACTCTAGTTATAAGAAATGAGAAACCCTAGGGACTATGGATATAAGGCAGTCCATATTTATCATGAAAATATATATTCTGGCAGTTTTAAGCACTTTTTGATATCTAAATAAAGTAAATGAATAATGAACCTGGGAATTATAAGTGACAATAATATCATTCCCAAGGTTTGTAGTACGGGAAGAAAAACGCACTTCTGACGTTCCAGAAGGATTACTTTTGTCTATTTCCGAACACTTGGAGCAGGTACGACAAACAATTATTATGAACGCTAAAATTATTGTTACATTGTAGTACCCAGGACACTCTGTAAAACAATTTACGAACGCAGCTCAGGGTCGTAATTTGTGTTTGGAAATATATAATCAAATAAAAGCGAATAACCAAAATTTCTGTTTTATGTGCCGCGGTTATAATATGGTTCAAGATGATTCACGGGTTGATGACGTCAGTTACACGAATCGCTTGAACGCGTTGGTTTTAACCGCGGTTTTGTTGCAAGTTGTTTATTTTAGAAAAGCTCGTATATAATCTCTGATTATTTTTATTATCATTTAATAATCGGTGCTTTTTCGTCTACAACTGTACGTGGAAAGTTTAAATAAGAAACCTTTCATAATATTCATGGGAGAAATGTTATTTCAGATTTTTTTTTAATGATGGAACCACAGCCGACGTCAACTACGAGCCGTGATGAAAGAAAGGCAACACCGCGCTCGGACGGCATGGTAGTGCTACCTGTGAACGTCGGCCGGCTGCGGCTGTGTGCTCCGTCTCCGTGTAACGTTCAAGAACTAAATTTAATTTTGGAAAAGAGGACAGTTCGATTCAATACAAATCGTCTGAATATGAAATAGCTCTAAAAAATTTAAAAATACGAAATAATCGTGATATGAGTCGCTAATGCAGTTAACCTAATTAAAAGTATTAAGTTTACGTTTTTTTTTGTCAGCACACTGTGTTCCAACAGGCCCAGCTTGGAAATGTGGAGTTACCTGTTTGTTTTTAATACATTTACTTTCAGTTTTACTGTTATTTTTCAATTTTACATAATCATTCAAAATTATGTTTAAAAAAATAGACAAAAGCTTAGATAAAATATCTGCATAATTGCGGCCACAGATGCAAGTTAAAGAAAATTCACTGTAAATAAAGTCAGACTGAATGCTGGTCAGGTTAACTGACAAAATAAATTTTTGATTATTGCTTTTCAAGAAGAAAATTTCCAATCTATCTACATTAATAATAGATTCAAAAATGGCATACATATGGTAGAATATGATTGGTACATAACTGGTTGGAATTGACAGTCCTCCTCTTTGCAAATAATCAAAATAAACATTTGTTGTTAATGAACCTTTTTCTTTAACTATTAGCGATTTGCATATCTCGCAGTTTAGGTTTTTAGAGATAGCGTGTGAAGCATATCCAGATATATAAGTCTTAGTACTATCCTCTATGTCACAATTGGCTAAGTAATTTGTCTCAAATAATTCATTGAATATATCCAAAACTTCAGGATTTTGTTTGGTATCCAAGAAATCAAAATTTTCTTGAGTTTCTAAGCAGTTTTGGAACCTTGTTTTAATTTCTGCTAAAGAAAATGACGATTTCTTTTCATTGAAAATATGCTTCAGCCGTATTTTCTTTTCAGCATTTAAAATTTCATCATATGACACATTGTAATTGCAGCCACATAGAAGTCTATAATTGCCAAATCGTTTTTCTAAATTATCAGTGGTAAATTTTCCAGGCAATACATACTCAATGTGAAATTGTTTAAATGAATATTCAATTATATTAAGTAGAGTCAGCGTGCTTTGATATAGAGCTGTATACATTTCTGGTGTCAGGTGTCCATTATTATTCTCTAGATTATGCCATTTTTCTAACCATATCAGGAATTTTAAAAAAAATTGTACTCTATAATCATATTTATTGGTAATAGGCTTACAAAATTCGTTTCGCTTCAATTCTCCTTTTATTACACTTGTATTACTGACAATATCCCACCAATTCCTGATTATTTCCAAAAAGTGTGCAGCATCATTAAACTTTAATTCTTTCATAGCAGCTATTGTTGAGTGATGGAATAAATTATCTACAAAATTTACATTTTGCCTTTCAAATGAATTTGGATGCAATGTTTTATAATTTAATTTATATGCTTTCTTAACTACAGCTTCTTTTTCCAATTGATATACAGCACGAATGTTTTCAAATTTAGCATACTGAATAATATCATTATTGTCAAAATTAGGATATACAAAAGTTTTGTCTAGGTTTTTTAAATTAATCCAATTATTTCTGATTCTGAAAATATGCACAACATCATAAGTTAAATATATGTTCTTATCAGGATTATGTGGATTTGGAATAGAATAATTTTCTGATGAATCCTTTGCTAATTTCCTGAACATTGCTCTATTAATTCGGTGATTATCAGTAACAACACAAATAACTTCAAATCCACATTTTTGAACTAAATTTATCACATGTTCAACCAAAGGTGTCATTTCATCACCTGTTAGATTTGAAACTGTCAGTAATTTGATAATTTCTGTTATGTTTCCAAATGCTGAAGGCTAAAACAGTTTTAGCCATGTCATTTTTATTTGAAATTTGAAAAATACAACCAGAATTTGCACGTTTTCAATAGTTGAAATCCTTAGCGTCCTGAGGCGCGAACAGCCACAGTCACACTTCTTAGTTTATTTTTAAAGCACAGAAGCACTACAACTGGAGTCTATTTCTCATATATTATAGTCACCGATCACTTTGAACACATACACACACTTTGAAGTTTAGAAAACAAGCTTATCTCTTAATTACAGCCTCTGCGATTCCAAAATCACAAATTGAAAAGGTTATGTTTTCTCAGCGTTTTGAGCGGCGGGAGTAACACTACCACCTACGTTGCCAGATTTCTTTGTTCACGGCTCGTAGTTGACGTCGGCTGTGATGGAACCATGGCTTTGTATCTATGATAACTTTCAATTCTCTAAATTCTTCCGCATGTCAAAGAAAACATTTATTGATTCAGTAGAAATGATGAAAAAAGAAATTAGCAAAACCGTATACAGGTGGATATCATCTAGTGAGTTTATATGGCCATATTTTAATATTCTTGTGGTATATGGCTACACAAGATACTTTTTTAAGCATAGGAACTACATTTAAAGTGTCCCCAACAACCGTAATGAGTATAAGGTGCTCCACTTTATGGTAAAACTGAAGTCAGCCTGTATCATTTTTCTCAAAAATGAAGCTGAAGTACAATAACAATATCCAATACCCGGCAAAATTCTAACTTGTCACATTTCAAATAATAACCAGAAACATAAAACTACTCTTGAGTTGGGTAAATACCACAATTTTGCGGTGATAACTATGACATATAACAGCTGATTCGTGACGTCACGGATCTTATAACCAAACTGATAACTACACTCGCTTGAACGGATTGGTAAATACCAACCCAAAATGGTTAATACCATTTCCATTTGGTTATCCGCTTGAATTTGATTTATGTTCCGAAAAGGAATAGAACATATTGCTGGAACAAAGCTAATCAATCTGTCATTATCATATGTTTTTGTGATTGTCATGTTGACGTGACCTCTTAACAAATGGGTAGTCTGAATCCTAACGAAGAAGATAATTTGATATGATAAAAGTATATTGAATAATTGATGGCTCAATTTCAAGTTAATTTTCCTGAACTGGAAGCTTCGCACGTTATGGTTGTGGTATCAAGTTGATTGTCATGGAGAAGAAGAAAAATGAAAGAATGCTGTGGTTGGCGGTTTTATTTGTTTGCTTTCAGTTAACTGCTTCTTTCCAAAATCAACTTAAGGCTTCTTTCCGGTACCAGAGCAGTATCATTTCAAAAACTCGCACCTCTGTTATCCACAGATATGAAACATACAGGGATATAACTTTAATTCATTTATACATTCCACAACATACACTGTTTGCATCTTTCAAATTTACTGGGGATGAAACTCGGATGTCTATTTTCGGTAAGCATAAAATATTATCAACTTATTATGGATAATTCATATTGTGCTTATATATATATATATATATATATATATGTACCTCTGAATCTTTTGAAATAGGTTGTGACCATTTTCAGCAACTCATTCTAAAAACGATTTCCATTCACTAGATGGTAGTTTTTGATGTTCCTAGATGCTATCTGTAACCTATTAGATCTATATATTGATGTGATGCTTGTCAGCCCTTCTCTAAAGTGGAAAAAACATTTGAGTTCAGGTACTTTAAATAGTGCTTGATAATTCTGTAATTGTTGTGGATATAAAAAAAATGCAAAAGAATTATACCTGATGATGTTATTCACCCAAAGAATATATGAAAAGATATACAGGATGAGTCATACCTTCATGATAAACCATTTATTTTTATAAAAAGAAGACCCAGGTAATCCCAGTATATTTGTACAAATTTTAAATACCTTGGTTAACTCTGCACTCTCCACACAACACCATTATCAGTTCATAAATGATTATGACCAGCATAAACAAGACCCTCTGAGAAAAAGTCAGACAAACATGTCCATACAATTAATCCTTAGATATTTTTTCCCTGCCCTAACAGTAGTGCATCTGGAAAAGTCACCTCTCCTTGTTACTTAAGTCTGTATCCATCAGAAATGGTTGCACATTCAGAGCATAGGAAACACTATGCTCTGTCGCGGTAAAATACGTGTAATACCATACCAGAACAGCAGAACACTCAGCAGGGCAGCAGCCACGGCCATAAGGTACTCAATCAGACTGCTGAGAATATTTTTCCAAGTTCTGTGGGCTAATGTATGGAGAAACTGGTGATGTGTGAAATATATCCAATAGGTGCATAGAACTACCAAAGTTGGAGCATATAAATGTACTAACTACAAAAAAATTCAGATAAATCCTCCCCACTCTCTCCAACATCACCTACAATTTTTTTTAAAAATGATCACGTTCTTCTAAAATTTCAAAAAACGTTTTTTATTCTTTTTCGTTTTTGGCTTTTTCTTCTGCCTTCATTGAAATCTGAGCAGTACTTCTCAGGCTAAAGGTGGTTATAAGATTAGCGGACAGACTGACGGGAATGAGTAACATGGTTATTTGTGATTTACATGTCATATAACATCCAAAAAACGTAATATCTCATTTTCGAATATTTTCGCGATTACAAAGTTCTCCGTAAGTAGGCGTGGAAGTGACAAAATCAATATAACAATAGGATCTTATTAAAAAAACATAGTTCTTTTCACATCATTGGACCATATTATTAAATATCTAAAAATGTGTATGATGTTGCACATAATTATGGCTCACCCTGTATATATGTTGACATATTTTCCAAGTATATAGGGTGGAAACCAATTATTACTTCAATTAACTATTTTTTAACATCTTCAACTATAGCAAAATTATTGAATCTGTTCACACAAAAAAGTATACAGGTTGCCCAAGGGGCCACAGTTTTTTTTATAACTCATCAATAGGTGAATGTTATGGGATCTAGGGATGTAGAATACTGAATGAATATTGTCAAGAAAATTTATCTTGCAGCTTGTAAGCCAAGAGATGTATCCTTGTATATGAAGTATGGTGCACCTCCTGTAATCAATCCTGATGATTCTACATTTCCTAAGGATTTCAAGAATATTACAAGAAGCAAGTTGCACCATATTGAATTTATGACTGATAACAAAGATCAATATATCAATTTGACATCTCCTTACCCAGGCTGGTATTATGTGGCTGTGTTCTTGTCTTATGTTAATCCAAAGTTTAGTGCAATAACACAACAAGGTATGTATACCACTGAAAATAAATCAATATTGTTTTTTAAAGTTAGGTATAAGATTGACATGTGTTCAAGATGTCAAAGTGATCATGTAGCTTGAACAGACTGAAATAGTGGAGTCAAGTGAACTTGGTACTTTCTATGACCCACATATTCGAGAAAATATTGTATATCTAAATTTTTTTCTTTGGTTACATCCTCAGCTAACCAGTAAGTTGAAAAAGAAGTTTGGGATCTTTTCCACATGACTTGTTTTTTTTGTGATTTCATATACAATCCATCAAATTCAACATTTTATTATCTGGAATGACACAAGTAATCCTAATTAGACCAAATTTTCAGGCTTAGGTCCTTCTTGTTATGCTAATGTTGAAGCACTGCTGTATGTTGAGAAAATATCTAATCCACTTATTGTCTCAGAAAATCACCTCATGGAAGTGATATCTATATCAAACACAAGCAGGTATTTCAAGACATATATTACTGACGATTATGATCATGCCTTGATTCAAGTTGAAACAATTGATTTGGCTCCAAATGTGGAATCTATGAAAATTAGGATTGATGTTGGAAAGCCATCTTCACAGAATACATTTATAGCTGCCAAGAGTTTTTATAGTAATAGCAATGATACAAGTATTACCTTCTGGACAGTCCCAGGATCTTGGCATTACATTGAAATTGTATTTGAAAGTGAGAAAGAACTGTCCTCCATATCTTCGAAAGCAACTTTTAGACTAAAGAGATTTTCAAACTTAATTGAAAACCTGGATGAATATCAATTCTTGTCCAACAAAGCATATTTCAACAATTCCATAACAAAAATATATAGAAATCGATCATTGAGTACTTTAATTCCATATAAACAATATGCCTTAGTGAGAGATGGTTTGTCAGATACATTTACCTTCTCATTTGTATTGGAGTCTGAGATGCAACACAATACCATTATTCCAGTGAATATGACCAATGATCATTTTTCTGCCTTCAAATTCAGCATTAGAGATGGAACTGAAATAGGAGGAACACTACAATTTATCATGGCTTTCAAGCCAAGACTGAGACGAATAGATAAGGCAGTTTCATTTGAAAGTGAACCTAAATCAAATGTCATTGTCGCCTGTTTAAGCAGATACGTCATGGAATTACCTGTTTGGCCGAATAAATGTGTCACTAGAAATTCAGAACGAACATCAGAGCTTATTTTGAACAGCACTGTTGAAAATTCTACAATTTTAGTACCGTATCCCGAGCTAGGCACGTGGTATGCGACCTTCAAGCTGTTTTGCCACAATTGTAGTTCATGCAATTGTCCTGAAAATTGCCAGGATAGTTTTAATGCTTGTGTGGATGCATGCGAGTTGGATTGTGATATTTCCTGTCAAGACTGCATCACAAATTGCAGCAGGGCTTTAATAGAGACTGAAGAATGTAAAGGGTGTGATTGTGATGGACCATGTTTGAGGAAGGGAGCTCCAAGCTGCAACTCCAGTATTGTTTATGATATTTCTTCAAGGCAATGCATTTCGGGACAGTGCTCTCCTAATGGGCTTTGCAGATTTATGGTTTCAGATGGAGTGGTCTTTTCAACGTGCAATTGTATAAATAAATATAGGGGTAAGTTACATTGATGTCACATTTAAGTAAATCAAAGATGCATTTATTGAAATTGTGTATATTATATACAAACCCACTATAATCTGCCAAGAGAGTGCCTCATTAGAGTAAAGTAAGAAGTATGTTATATTGGAGATTCTAAAGTGAACTTGAGTATTTGTGATGATCACAAGTAGCATTAAAACAGTTTGAAAATAACGCGATGATTTATTCAAATTGATTGACAGCTCTTGTAGCTGACAACAACAATGACAAACTACGTACTCCGTATAGTACAAACAGAATATAGAACAAGCTGCAAGGAACCGAAGTCTCAAAACAATACACTCATTGAATACTTTTATTGACCATCAGCCAGTCCAAATAACATTGGGTTCCTCTTAAAAAGCCTTGCACAGGAAATATGCCTCTTGGTCAGTTGTAGGCACATCCACAGGTCTTGAAACACCAACCTAAAATTTTTCCGTAATAAAATGATACATTATGTCAATGTGTTTTGTTCTACTGTGATAGTCTGCATTTTTAATGAGCTTAATCACACTCTGGTTATCAATATCCACAAGAATGGGACTCGCCCATCTGATAACAACACACTTAGCCAAACCACTTGTTTGGTTGATTGTGCTACAGCCACACATTCATCTTAATTTGTCTTGATTTGCATTTCCACAAAATTTGACACATCAGACTTCAAAAGTTTCCCTTCAGCCTAGTCAAACCTTTCTATATAGCTAAAATATCACATGCCATGACTATTCTAACGTCGACATAAAAAATAAGCAGTACTCTAGCATTGTACACTTCAAAAACATTAACACGCTTATCAGCATTACTTTGTGTGAAGCCAACACTTTTCAAAAAGAAGTTAAACCGTTAGTTCCAACAGCGAGAGCTCTGCTTAAGTCCATACAAATATTTTTGTAGCTTATATACTTTTCCCGGTGGAGATTATAGGCTTTCTGGCGAAAACATGTACAGTTCTTCTTCAAGTTCACCATAAAAACGCTTTTTTGACATCAGACCGTACCTTCTTGAACTGATTTTGAGCTGCAACAGCTGGTCGCACTTTTACTGAATCATATCTCACAGGCGAGGCAACATTTTTATTGTAATCCAAGTCTTCTTCTTCTTGTGAGAACACATAAGCAAGCTTTCTGTCTTGATATCTCACCATCTACATTTCTTTTTACCTTGGAAACCCAATTGTAGTCAATGGCTTTTTTGCTTACTTGTCGCGACGCAAGCCTATAGGTGACTAGGAAAATGAGATATTGTGTATTTTGGTTGTTACGTGACATGTACACCACAAATCCTTGACCAGTCTATAACTTGAGAAGTACCGACGAAATGTTACACAAGGTTACTATTATGCCAAGGACGAAAAATCTTTGTTGTTTTTGAGAATCGGTCTGGTAGCGGAGGAGAAAGATGCCAAAGGACAAACAAATAAAATCGCTCAAACTTCGTTCTTTGACGTTTCAGAGGGTCTTGATCGTTTTTGAAAAAAAAATTTAGAGCCAAAAAATTGGAGGGTGCCGGTTGTAGGGGGTGGGAAGTGTGTATCGCAATTTTTCGATTAGATGGTATATTGATACACGGTAATTCTACACACCTATTTATATATTTCACACATCATATATTTCCCCGTACATTTGCCCTCAAAACTTTAAAAAATATTTTCTCCTCTTAAAACGGAACAATGTGAACATTCTTACGGAACAAGCTTATCTCTGGGATGTTATTAACGGAGATTGTTCCAGGCACATTGCTATCGTGAGGCTATCCACTGTATATACGAGTATACCGGGGGTAACCTAGTAGTAGCTACTTCTAGTGTATGGTGCAGGTTAGAGCTCTTCCGTCCTACTGGATAAGTACTAGAGTTTTGTTAGAGTTATACGTCTGGGAATGCCTTCTGATATAATGCCAAAGATAACAAGATATGCTAAACCCTACTCAGTGACAATTCCACACAGGAATGAGTGGGAACAGCAAGTTAACCTGATAAGGAAAGATATCTGTGCATCCACAGATGGCTCCAATACCGAGGTAGGTGTTGGAGCAGGTATCTTCGTGCCGAAGCTAAAGATTAAAAAATGTGTTAGCCTCGATCTTCCAAGCAGAGCTACGAGTATATGCTATAGAACTGGGTGCCAGAATGATCGCAGGACGACAACTGAGACACAGAACTATAATTATTTTTTCAGATAGTCAAACCGCGCTTAAAGCACTTAACTCCATCTACTCGACATCGAAATTAGTGTGGACTTGCAAAGAAGCTCTCAGTGGCATAGGGGAGGGAAATGAAGTGATTCTTATATGGATACCAGGACACACAGGTCCAGAGGGAAACGAGACAGCTGACACTCTGGCAAAGAGTGGGGCTAGCACGCCCTGCATAGGGCCTGAGTCAGCGATTGGAATCGCATACAATAAGGCTACACAAAGAATCTTTGCAGAGATGGACAGAAAGATCCATCAATACTGGGAGGGATTAGCAGGGTTAACCCATGCTAAGGCAACTAGACCAATCTTGACAAATATGGTAACAGACTCTTTACTACGGCTGACGAGGAGTAGCCTCAAAGCTCTAGTAGGACTGTACACTGGTCATTGCAAATTGCGTCACCACATGAGCAGGCTGAGCATGGCGAAAGACGCTGTGCAGACTGTGCATGGAGGGAGACGAACCGGAATAGATCAAAGAGTCGCAGTGGAGAATCGTTATTGATGCACTCACAAGAAACCTAACCTAACCTAACCAAGAGGTATACTTCCAACTCCCAAACTTGTCCCCCAACTCTCACAGTTCAGTTATTCAATTCTCGGAGCTTCCGCATTTCTCTGGCACAGACTCTTCAAAATCAACTTCATTTTTACATAGCTCAACTCCCGCAGTTTTTATTATTCAATTCATAAAGCAATTGTGATTCATTAAGGCTCCACGTACTCCCCCTGCTGTTTTTCCAAAATTGAATCTCCCCCCCACCTCCCGGTGCCACTTCCACCTTTTGCTCGAGTCGATCTCGCAACTCGGTAATGATTGATGATCCTGGGTAACTCAGCCACGGTGTTGTGGAGGTTAGGTTTCGGTCAGAACCTGCTGTGGCGGCAGAACCCTGCTCAGGCCTTAAAAATTGGCCTTACGGACATGCCGACTGGAAGACGCTCAGACTTTTTCGACATCAACAAAGCTTCTGGTCCGTACTTGCTCCCTGCCATTGTACAGAAGAGTTGTGCAGCGGAGCTTGCTCCAATTTTTTTCGCGCCTCTTCCAGATATCTCCGACTCCGGCACTGTCCCAGACACTGAATATTTGCTTATATCCAACCCGTACAAAAAAAAGAATCTAAGACCGACCCTTACCACTACAGGCCTAAAGATCTGCTTTCTGTTATAAGTGAGGTGATGGAGAGGTGCATAAATCGAGAGTAGTACCTCGAACGTTACAGCTTGATTAGCGAAAGCGTTCGATCAGCTGTGACATGATTCCTTCTTATGCCAACTTCCATCCTATGGACTCCCAGAGAAGCTTTACAGATGGGTGGCTGACTTCGTATCAGGCCGCAAGGTATCGTTAATTAACGGGTTCTCCTCTTCACCTTTCATGTGAGATCAATCCAATCCATAGTTTTGTTGAAGACAGCACTCCACATGAAGGTATTTAGAGTGACAAGTCGATCTCAACCGGTGAGCTGGAGAAAAGAAGACCACCAGCGACTTCCTCTCTGACGAGGGACATGGAGGTTATCACTGCCTGGGGACGCAACAATTTTGTAGCCTAATGCTTCCAAAACCCAGTACTGTACCTTGACAAACAAAAAGCGACCTGGCGCTCATCCGATTTCGATAGATAGCCGAGTTCTACCAAAGAGACGTTCATTTCGGCTGATTGGAGTCCAGAACACCGAGGACGAGGACTTGTTCTGGCACGAACACATCTCGTCAACAGGCGTAGCTGCTGCTATTTGTTTAGGGTTAAGAAGTACTTTTCTCCACATGACCTCACTCTTCACAAGGTCCAGATAAGACCTAGCCCTGAGTGTTGCTCACATCTTTGGGGTGCTGCCGCTCCGACAACTTTGTCCATGCTCGATGCTGCTCAGAGGAGCTCTGTCCGACTGATCGATGACTCTTCTCTCACGCACAGCCTCGGGGCCCTTTCGCACCATCGCCGTCGGGACATCGGCGATCTAGCATCAACTACCGACTCGCCAATGGGCTCTGCTCCTCAGAGCTCTGCTCCATGATGACGCCGCAGGATGTGCCTGCTAGACAGACCCGCATGACTTCGGCCTCCCGACCTAACAGTGTCGAACTTCGTACATCCAGAACTGGCCGATACGACCGCTCCTTTGTCCCTAGGGTGTCGAGATTGTGGAACAAGCTACAAGAGGAGGCTTTTCCCAGTTCTACTAAGCTTAGGCAGTTAAAAAATATGATTAACAAAGTTTCTTTGTGATCCTCATAGCAGGGCCTCTGCCCGCGCAGCTGCTTCGGTATAAAAAATATCCTAAGGGGAACCATGTTTTAGGATATTCTGCATTGTTTTGTACAAATGAATCTAATGTATCAACGTTTTGATAAAATGTATTAATAAACACAAAATTCACTGTATTTTCACTGGTTATACTTTTGTTGTATTGAGAAACCGGTATTACATAGATGCTTATATTTTTTTTCAGGTTGGGACTGTTCAGATGGCTCTTTTGCCACCCCATACTACATGTTGGTTATCGAGTTACTACTGTTGGTTTTAAGTAATCTTGCATTCCTGCCAGCTGTCTACGTAGCGTTTAAACGTAAATATTATGTCGAATCCCTCGCCTACTTCAGCATCTGCTTCTTTTCCACTTTCTACCATTCCTGTGACGCGGGTGAGAACATTATCAGTTTTTGCTTGACCAAATCAAATGCATTACAGTTCGGAGACTTTTTCTGTGCTCTTCTGGCCATTTGGGTTACGTTGATAGCAATGGCCGATTTGGCGCCAATGTGGACCTCCATTTCGCAAATGGCAGGAGCCGTAACGTTAGCTTTTTGTACTAGTATTGATAAAATGGCGCTTTGGGTTTTTATGGTACCTGTTGCGTCAGGTATCTTTATAATTATTGGAAGCTGGTTCCTGAAATATAAAAAAGTCAAGCAACCTTTTATTAACCGGAGATACATAAGGATTGAGCTTCCATTAGGGACAACAGTAGTAGTTGTGGGGCTGATCATGTTTGCATTTTTGCAAACAAAAGATAATTACAAATATCTGCACAGCTTGTGGCATGTTCTTATGGCGTGCGCTATCATATTGCTCTTACCGAAGACAAACACATTTATGCCCGAAGCTTTGGTATAGCTCTCAATGAATTATGAGATTTCCAGTCACTAAATTGCCTCATTTTGTGTTGCTAAATAAATTCAGCTATTGCCTATTTCTGCCAGTATTGTCTAGAAAATTGATATATTCAGTTGTGCGCTTTGTTAATAGACTAGCAAAATCAAAACATGCAATTTTAAAGCACACATTGCACATTCAATACCAGTTTCTTCATCTTAATCTTCTTGTTTTTATATACCTGTTACTAAGGTCTTGCTGCACCTCTTTAATTATGCGAACATATTTCATGTCAGTTGTAAATGTGGAATAACAGTATTCGTTTTTCGAATGATGCTGGTATATTATATATACATATATGACATTTACTGATAGCGCTTTGGTATTACTGCATTCGATAGCTTTTCAGTATTAGAACATTATTTTATTTTTTAAATCACTATTTGTGTTTGGGGTCATAACTTTGGATTTTTGTATCAGTATTGATTAAACGGCGCTTTGGGCTTTAATTGTACCTGTTGCGCCAGGTACGTTCATAAGTTTTGGTTTTTCGTTCAGAAAATATGGCAAAGTCAAGCAGCATTTTATTAACAGGAGATACCTAAGGTTTGATGTTTGCATTTTCGCAAATAAAAGATAAGTACAAAGATCTGTATAGCTCGTGGCATGTTCTTATGGCATGCAATGAGATATGCTATCTGGAGTTTAATTACTATTGCGTTCCCTGCAGAAAATTTATATACTTATTTTTGTACGTTAGTGATAGACCAATAAAAGCAAAACATTAATTTTTTTAAATCACACACCAGAAAGTTGCAAGTTCATTGGCACATCATGGTGAGTTTATCGTATTTTGAACACAATTTGTTTTTAGATACCTGTACCAATTGTAAATGAGAAATTACAAAATTCATTTTATAATCCTACTATTATAGGATATTTACTAAATACATTTTGACACTTTTGCATTCAAACATTTTATTCTCAAACTTATAACATTTTTTTATTTTTGCTCAAGACTACTAATTTTCACCGTGAAATCAAAATTCTCAGTCAGTATCGCTTTCCCAAAACATTCGGCTGATATCGTGATGGAATAGTAATCTTAATAATCGAACGGAGTTTTTCAGTACAATGTGATGATTCTCCTGCCATAAGTTTTTCCGAAGTTTCAAGCTATTGGATATTTCACCATGGGAGTGTTTAGCTTGTTCTGTTATGTTCTATTTGTGGTCATAGTGATGTGTCTTACCTTATGCAACATGTACAACGATCTCATGAAAGAATTTAATTAATTCTATGAAAGTGTGGTTTATTACTGGATTTGAAACAGCTCCACCGCTCGAGATAGTTTCAAATGTTCAACTCCGAACACTCCAACTTACTCCTAATGTCATGTGGCCGTTCAAAAATGTGGCAGCTTAACTACCAGATGATATAAGGAGATACTCGGACTGCACGTAGTTGAATAGCGGAACCCAGCATAGGTTATAAATGTCCTTCTCAAGTATTTTCGTAAAATGGGCCGTTCAATAAATGTAAAGTAAATGTATGTACAGTGTACAGGGTGTTTTGCTGAAAATTTACCTCTTCTAACATTTTCCGACTCATTGAACTCAGTTTGATCCAAAAGTTGTAGGGTCTCTTACAAAACTTTTCATACCGTGTTTTCTTGTATACAGAAAAATACTATAAAATAAAGGCAAATTTGCAAAATTGTTAACAACTACTACGAGCCCCTTCCCACTTCAGTTGGCCCAACTATTGATATCTTAGTTTTTTTCTTATCAAACCCAAATAATAAAAATGTAGCAGTGTGTTATAGGTTTAAAATACTAACAATGAATATTTTGATAATATATAGTAGAAAACACCAACTTTATCACTCCCTGATCAAATTTGCAGCATAAAAATAACACATGTTGCAATTACAGCATATCAACCTATTTTTTCATTTCATTGCAAAATAAGTCTATAATGCATAGGTGGCTGTGAAAAATAAAAGCCATGGCAACTGTTTTTATTAATTACAGCTGTTAGAATACGTTTAAAATAGTTTTGGGTAGTTAAGGTTTTCAAAATGGGTAGAGGAAAGGTTATTAGTGAAAAAATTCGGTTACTGATAATTAAATTTTTTAATTCTGGGAAATCAAACTCAGAAATTGCAACTTTGTTAGACTTATCGCGGTACAGTGTGAGAAATATTGTTAAAAGATATAACGTAACTGGTTCAGTTAATATTAAGCCACGATATGTTAAAAAAAGTAATCTCACAAATGCCGACCGAAGAGCATTAAGAAGAATAATCGTGAAAACAGGCGTGCCAATTATTTACAATTAAGTGCTCTGTGGAGTGACGCTGTTGGAAGGAGAATTTCGAGGTCCACAACTCATAGAGAGGCCCACAAACTGGGATTTAGCACTTGCAAGGTACGTTTTCTTATAAAAAAAGTGAAGTAAAAACCCTAAAGTTGCACAACTTGTTTATAGGCCAAAGAAAAGCCACTATTAACTCCACTGCAGAAGAAAAATCGGCTTAGATGAGCTAAAGAACATAGACAATGGACACCTCAACAATGGTGTGCAATACAATGGAGTTATGAGGCCCGATTCGAAGTTTGTGTTGGTGACAGTCGCAGTAGAGTTATTCGCAAAAAAAATGAAGCATTCCATGTTGACTGTCTGAAGAGAAAAGTGAAATTTTATGGTCTGGGGCAGTATGTCATCAAAAGGAGTAGGAAAATTTCATTTTATTGATGGAAATGTGGATACAAACAAATATTTAGCAATTTTAGAAGAATTGCTTTTACCAGTGATGAAAGAATGTTTGACATCCGGCCAAGATTTTGTGTTTCAGCAAGATGGTGCAGCGTGCCATACCTCAAAAAAGGGTATAAAATGGCTGGAAGAAAATAATGTACCACTTTTACGACAACATCCTGCTCGTACAATCACCGAACTGAGACAAAAGCTTCAAGAAATATGGGATTGTTATACACCAAATTTTTGCCAAAACTTGGTTAACACTACGCCCCAAAGAATTTCAGCCGTAATAAAAAATAAAGGTGATGTTACCCAATGGTAATCTTTCAATTGTTGCTTTGTTAACTTCGCGCATTTATTCGCACATTGTTTATTTGTTCAGATGTTCTATTAGTTATAGGTCTAAGTGATTTCAAATATTTATTTTTTACGACTAGAGTGTATCTAAAATGTTTTTGAGAAAATAAATTGTTTCAGAAGTAAATAGTTTCGTCATGTTTAGTTTATAAAGGCATATTTTGGTACAAATCTTGAAGTGGGCCATCTGAAGTGGGAATGGGCTCGTACATACACATTTAGCTAATAAGTGACTATTTTGAAAGCGTCTTAATTTATTTTTCCTCGTTAAATATTTTTGTTTTTTTATATGTTGTATGTACCTAACATTGTACCACTAGTAGCCGACATGTCAAATGTCGCAGTACCTGTAAGTGATACGGATTTGATTTTTTTATTTCGTATCTACTTAAATATTGTTTATTAGATTTAATAGTAAACATGTATTAATAAAAGAAGTTACAAAATAAAATAGCAAACTATACTTAACTAGTAAAAGGACGACACCACAAAGATGTTACTTTTCGAGGAGATTTGAGATAGGCAACTTGAAAACATATCTCAACCTTTCCCCAATTACAATAATCTCTGGATTATCCAAAATACCAGTGATTTGTTCGGAAGAAATGGACGAGATGCCACGTCATTGGCAACAAATACAATTTAAAGCCATAACATTGATAACGTCTTGATCAACGATTTCTTGAACAATGCATACATAAGTATATTTCTGAGTATTTCCCATACAAGCAAACAAAACAAAATATCCACTTTTTAATTGATGGACTTCTCTAATTGATTTATTTTCTTCCCATTTCTTCAACATTCTCGTCTTCTATATTCCAAATAGACTAATCGGACTCTTATGTTTTAAGGGATTTCATCAATTCAATTCAATAGAACCTGATTCCTGTTTTCAGTTCCTTCTTTTTAGTTTTAATCTCCTCAAAATTCCTTTCATTTTCTGTTTTTCCTCTCTTTGTGCTTTTCTTTTCAACTTTTGTCTTTATTTTCGTTGTAAGACTCACTAAGAGGCATACTCATGTGAAAAACGTAACAGTCGACAAACAACACAATAGGCAATGTAACATTGTTTTCTCAACAGCCAAGGATAAAATATATTTGCCACGTATTCATAAGAACATTCTGCAGTCGCTATCTGACCTACCAGCTCCCCAACATATAGGTACACTTTCTGCTAACAGTGTGGGAATCCTCTGATATCGAAATATTATCATTGAGGGTGTCACGCGGCCATAGCACTGCAATTTATTAAAACTGTTAAACATTGTTACTCATCATTACTTGCCGACTGTCCGGCTGATGTATTAATTTATCCCCTCTATGGTCTGAGACTTTCACTGCTTTTGGATTGAGCAAAAAAGCGGTTTCATCTGTGTTAAAAATCCTGCTAGGATGTAGAAGAATATCGGAGATACTATTGAGTTTTTAATTTGGGACTGAGTAACGGCTACTCTGCTTTTGCTCAGATTATGAAAAACTGTTTCAGAAACATCTGAATGTCTTCTCCTAAATCCCTCATACCATTTTCTACTTATCTTATAATTCTTCAGCCTCATTTCTTCTTCTTTCCCCAATTCTATTGCAATTTCCTTATAGATAAAATAAACATGTCTGTTGTTACTGGGATCTTCCTCTTGGCTACAATTTTTATCTATTCCACTGTTCTTTCATCTTCTTCTGCGCTAAAGAGAAGGTCCGGTCCCATCTTTACCCTTTTGGCGACGAAATTTTCAACATATCAACGTCCTGGTAACGGGACATTTTAAGACTTATGCCTAAACTTTTTGCCTTATTCATGGATGTACTTTCGGCTTCAGAAATATGGCCATTGTTTTTTGAATCATCCTGTATTTCTAATCAGAAAAAACTATAATTTTCACTAAAAAGGTAAAAACACTTTGTACTAGGCCCTATAATTTTTGTATACGATTTTTAACGACCATACAAACAAGTTATAGCGGTACAGCTTGTAGGTGATGGCTTGAAAAGTATTCATAACGTGACACAAAATCTCCCTTTTTGCAAATTAGATACAGTTAGTACGATCTAACGACGCATTGTAGAAGCAGTATTAACAAGCACACAAAGAATATATAAGTACAAACGAAAATATACGTATATATATGAACAGAAAGACATTTTATTATAAAATGAAAAGTGGTTATAGTTTAATAGAGCTTTTATCAATGAGACAGTATAATCTATCTGTCGCTCAAAATAGAGTCCATCTATTATTATAATATTCATATAATCAAATAAAACTCATATATTAAAAACATTTTTATGAAGCTGTATCTGTCAGTGTATATATACAGCAAAGTATGAAAAAGCCTGCTATTGACCCTTGCATGAAGTGTTATTAACACTTGTGCATCAAAACACAGAAACTTGGACCTTACTTTCAGTAGTGGGACAGTCGAATAACATAAGTGTTTTGTACACTTTTTACAGGATTAATGATCTAATTCTGCAGTGTAACTTATTTCAGAATTGAGAACTGTATTAAATAATTATGTATTGATTCTTCATATAATGAACTATATCTCTGTGATATACTGCCATTGATATAATTTATATTTTTACCAATGTTGTATATATTGTACTGTTGTCTTTAAATATATTGATAAACTATCATACTTTTGGTTTTATATAATTATCCTCAACACCAATCCTTGGGAACGTCATCCCTCGGTAGAGATTAGTGCCAAAAACTAAGCCATTTTACCACAAAAACAACGGTTTTGACATTTCAAAGCACAAAGCCAAGACACGAGCAATAAAATACTGGAGGCGCTCCTTCCATGTTAGGGAATATTGAAACAATCTGCCGTATCACATTGCGTGCTTGTAACTTGTTCCATTGTTCGCTAATACGAGTTTTACTGTCGGCAAAACAATTTTGCATACAAGCGTTTGCAATTCAAACGCGCAAACCAACCTAAACGAATGATGCATCCCCAGTGGCGGATTTAGCGGGGGACGTCTGACACTTGCTTTTGTAATCTACCACCATTGTGTTACTTTCTGACACATCATGGCGACAGAGGCATACTAACTATAAGTTATAGCTATAGGAACTGAGCATTGTGATTTTTTGATATTCCAAACACTACTACCCCTCTTTGACATCACTGAAATCAACGTAAAAAATCTTAAATTAATTTTTTTTGTGAAAGATCTCTTCCATTCCTCAACTTTGGAGGGCGGTAAAAAAAAATTGAGGTTGTACTTCATTATTCATTTTATTGTAAAAACTGTTTAAATTCATGTAGAATAAACCCTGAAAGTTTCAGCTTGCTACGATGAGTGTATTATGTCACATTCGTTGTTGTGATGCGATAAACGTAAGAAACGCAATAGAATCCTTACCACCTATAAGTACAGAACCTACTGTGTTTAACCGCTCTTTATGGCGATTTACCGACAAATGTGGAAGATAATTTAATTTATCCAACTTTTAAAGAACATGTTCGAAATTACCTCCATTATTTTCTATACACAAGCGACACCTTCTAATAAAATTGTCATTTAGTCTTTGAAATGAATTTGCGTTTTCCATATCTTTTAATTTTGCTTCATCATTTTTCTGGCGCAGTTGGTAGACATTTGTATATTCAGATGTATAGATTGTCCCCTTATAAAACCCCCATATAAAAAAATCTAGAGGATTTAAATCGGGTGACCTTGGAGGCTATCGTATGTATCTACCTCTACCTATCCAACGCCCAGGAAAGGCTCTCTCTAAGTAATGCCGTACATGGGGCATCATCGCATTGAAAATACATGCGGTTTAGAACGTCCCCTAGCAGCTCATGCAAACTGCTTTGTAGAAAAGCAAGATATGACTGACCATTCAACCTGGCGGGCAATTCATATGGTCCAATTAATTTGTTGTTGAGTACTCCAGCCCATAAATTAACGCCGAACTGACGTTGAAAGCTGTGTCGGCGAATAGCGTGTGGATTTTCTACCCACCATGAATGGAAATTATGCATGTTGAATATTCCATCTGGGTTATAGTTGGATTCATCTGTCCATAAGGTGCTGTCGAAAAAAGTTTCATCCTCTTCGCACCTTCTCAACATAATCTCACAAAATTCAACCCGTTGTGCATAGTCGCTTGAAAGCAATTCTTGTACTTTTTGTACATGGTAAGGATGCATGTTCTCCGAGCGTAGTGCACTGAAGTAGGGGGGTTTGGGGAATGGTTCTGGTGCTTATAGAGGGATGTCTCTCGGCAGCTTCTATTATATCGTCTATTTCTTCTGGGCGAATCTTTCGCCCTCTAGCAGACGAGCAGTGCCTAGTATGCGGCGCTCCATATACGCATTATGGACGCGTAGAAAAACGCAGTAGACGGGATATACCGCCGGTTGTGGTCCACCTCTTCTAACCATATACTCCCGATACATGCGAGCAGCTCCTCGAGCATTTCCTTCGGCAGCATCATACTAGTAATCCATTTCAGCATAATCTCGCGGAGAATAAGACATGATTCTACTCAGATTGCGTGACTTAGTAATTTCGGTCGGACCGAAGATTGAACGCTCCCTCACCTGGTATGCGAGTTGAAAGCCCAAGCTCATTAAGCTGTTTTGGCTATTTGCGTAAAAAATCCGCCATTTTGTTTTCACAACATGTTAAGTCACACAGTATCACTCGCTCTGCTAGGACGAATCTAACAGTATCTCATATGACAAAATCCATCAAGTCGTTTGGACTCGTGAAATAGAATTTCTTGTTTACAAATATAGATACCCACCTGCGCCAGACATACAGATCATTTAAGCTGAAATTTTCAGGGTTTATTCTACATGGATTGAAATAGTCTTCACAATGAAATGAATAATGAAATACAACCTCAATTTTTTTTACCGCCCATCAAAGTTGATGGATGGAAGAGATTCTTCTCAAAAAATTAATTTAAGATTTTTTGTGGTGATTTCTAATTAGCTCTGTTAAAAAGTGGCATCACTATTGCTAAAACTAAGCACTTAACTCATTTAAAAAAAACAGCCCTAAACGTAATGGTTTAGTTGTAATTGCGATTGAAAGTTCATTATCCCGTTTTTTTTCGAAATTTCACAAAATTGCAAATATCTCTTGAACTATAAAATGTCGGACCACACATATAGGGGTTCATTCCCTAGGTTTTGAGGCCCTCTATCAACTGAATTCCGTTGATCCACTACTAACTTTACACCCTGTATATACGAGTATTGTGACTTGTGACAAATCTGACTAAAATATTAGCTATATAGCTATATAGATGCACTTAAAACGTGTTCTGTTTGTTGCTCAATAGTAATTTGAGAAGTTTGTAAAGCTTGACTGATCTTGTTAGGGGATGGTGTTGCAGCGAGAAGCACTATGTTAGCCGAATGCCTAAATTGGAAATGGACATTTATGAGATTTGTTTAGCGGTGCGCCTGTGGCCTGTCCAGAAACTGCGTCAATCGATGCTCAAAGTCAATACCACACGTCCCGCATCTCTTCCCGCGTATGTGTCCATTTATGTTGCTATATTGAATTTGTTTAAATCACAGAGCTTCTACACTACACGTGAATATGTGCAACCCTGTATTCATGTACTTGTTTCTTCCAGACATACTTTAACAAAATAATTATATGATATAGTTTTTTTCAAAGATTTCCAACATTTTTACATGCGATGAACACCGATTCGAAAACTGAGAAAACATCTATGCCGTAAATCTAAGTTCGACAACGAAAGTCTGAAAAATAACTGTAACATCTATATTGAATTTCAAAAAATAATTGACAATACCTATTGATATTTTTATCACCTGCTGATATAATAGAAGTGCTTGATTGTGTTAAGTATTTGCACCATTTACTTGATTTGTTTGATGGGCAGTTCAGAGTCTTAATCCTTAAATTTAGTACACACTAGTAGGCTCCGTTGCGCAACTTGACTATAGGCAGTCTGGAGACGGTCTCAAGACATGATCTATAGGTGGTCTATAGATATCCTTCTTTGTCTCGTCTAGCGTCCATACGATAATGTGAATTTTTCAGTTTCATATTCGTTTTTGCCGTCAAAGACATTGTTTTGTGTGGAAAGGACTGGGATATGACTCGGGGTCCCTCAGAATGTTTTATTTATAACAGAGCAGTTTTTTATGTTTGAATTTTTAATACTATTACACTAGTTAATTATAAATGCCACTTACGTATTTTGTTCTCATATAATAAAATGTTGCCTTTCTGAGGATTTCTGCGCATTTTCCATGCTTTTTTTTGTCAAGTTGGCCTTGACCAGATAGCATACAATGGATTTAAGGAGCAATAATAGAATAAATTCTAGAAGTTCCACTGAGGTTGAAAAATGACCAGCCCCAAATATCGTTTGCGCCCCCCCCCCAAACGAAATCCTGAACCCGCCCTTGCGCATCCCTTTGGTTCAGCTTTCTTCGCTTTCAGGTTCATGAGCACTGCTTGTAGACGAGGAGTATAAGCACACCTCACAATGAATCAATGACAAGGAGAAAAATTGTTTTGTTAATGCGCATGCGTCTGATCAAGGTTTATCGTCCACCTTGCTGACTGTAAAACAGGTATAAATTGAGGATACCCTTGCAGTTGAGCTTTGATTTTGGTATCAAACATTAGTCAATAAATAATTTACTAATACATTGAAATCGGTGTACTACAAAATATGTCAGTGATTTATTTTTCATCATTCAGCATTCTGTAGGCAAGTCTTGCACCTCAAACTGAAATTTTATTGTTTCACTACCACCTATTTGGAGCTGGGTTTAGTGACAAAAATACACATGTGTTTAAAACGCTATTTATTTAGATTATAACTATTATCTAATACTTTTTATGATTGTACGTTTTTATTTTTCATACTTCAAAGAAATTAACAATATGATTTTAGTAATAATTGACCTTAAATTTAACCTGACGCTAATGATATTTTTAACAATATATGTAATAAAAAAAACAATAAAATTTCAACTCTTTAACTATGCAACCTCGTATATTGATATAAACTATTTACAAAACGACATGCGGTTCACATTTTCGTATTTTATTTTAGAATTTAACCTACAGCTTTGTACAAAATGGAACAAAATTGACATCTTTCTCCATGATAGATTCAAGTATAATAAGCTCCTTTTTACAGTATATTTTAAGTTGAGAGAAAAGTATCTAGTACTACATCATGAAGCTTCATGGAAAAAGTTGGTCTGTAAAAACACAACGAAAAAGTATATTTAAAAAGAGCATACTGTATAACTAATATTCAAATGGTGCCTTGAAATGCATCTTGCCTTTGGCGAATGTATGGGTTCATTTTTTTGTAAAATGATGTGTTCTTCGCATATTTATCGAATTTTATATGAATTGAATACGCAACTTTCTCATAAAATGTAGATTCATCTCCGAAGATATTGACCCCTAAAGGATGTAAAACGAAAATGGTTGATGATATACTTTCAGGTTCCACAGTTTTTGATCACTGCAGTGTAAAGTTTTTTCCTAATGTTTTTTCCTATTGCTTTGTATTTTTGTTTTGTTTATGCTAGAGAATATAATATAAACTTCTTAATTTGATTTGCTGGAAACCAGTTATTTTAGCTTTATTAATGGAGATACTCTAACACTTGCTCTCAAGTTGCATTATAAAATTTTGATAAGGATAAACGAGATTTTTTCTGACAATCAGGATCATCATTGTGTATAATATGACCACATCAGATACACCAGAAGTACCTAATTTTATAAAAAATTGTACTTCTGGAAATGCAATGCACATCGAGTCACCAATTTCGAAGCTTCTATTTTGCATGTTTTTAAGAGAAAATCGCACATCCAACGATGTTTATGGTACATTTAAGTTAACTTTTCAAGCCAAATATTCAGCATATATTTCTTGATTTTTTCGAAAAGATATGTTTTCAACGATACTACTTTTTTAAACTACACTACCAAAATTTGAGTGTGAAACAGCGAAGCTAGTTAGATCTGAATGAAGTAACAATTTTAGGATATTAGAGATGAATAAAAATTAGACCATGTTCTTGTAGGCACTTTAATCTGTACTAGAAAAGGACTAATACATCTATTGAAAACGCGGAATTTAAGATTTTTGGTCCTATATATGTAATAGCAAATTAAGCATACAAGACTTTTCCTTATATTCAAATATATAGTTAAAATATCTTAAGGTATTTTACACTTGTTGCCCATTTTCATACAAAAATTCATGTAACAACTTGGTAGCAGAGATCGATTATTCAGTACATTATATTATTACTCGAACAACATTTAATATATGCACGTCTGAATGTATCCTGTTAAGATCAATTACACATTAAATGTTACTCCACTATAATAAAAGCTCACCGAACTTGGTTGATAAGATATTTGTATTTGGATTTTCCATGAGTTACGAGTAATCATTTTTTCGTATCCTACGCCTCAAATATAGGAAACATTGATTTGATGTTTTTTATAGTGACTCGTTTTTTTACACATAGGAAATATGAAGGGTTATGTTTAACAGATTACTGAAAAAGCAGAAAAGTACTCCTCAGCTTCCCTAATGTTCTTCATCAAAATTACCAGTAATAAAATGTAAGTGTTTTTTAATAGTAACAAGTTATATTCATACGAGTATTCATAACAAAATGAAAACGCTAGCAATTTGCCTGCGTTTAAACTTCTTATACAAATATAAGTTGAATTACATATTTTAAAAAATCAATCTCTGCAAATTTCTTCATTCGTCCAACGTATCCATTCTATTGATTGTCAGTAATGATATACATTGCGAGTGATACAATATGCTCTGTTCCCTTAAAATTAACCTGTACAGTCAATTTGCCAGACAGGAACACTAGATGATTGGATATAAATTTATAGGGTATTATTGCACATTCTTTCATAAGTGGGTATTATTCAGGAAGACAAAACAGTTTGGCGAAATACCGGTTAGCAAAGAATTGCGTTATTATTCAGTTAAAGTGTATTATGTGATTGGAATTTTCCAGTTATGAGCTACATGTAATAAAAAATGCGGGCGCCTGTATATTTAGAGAAAAACCGATTTTATACTATATTAACTATGATGATATAAAATGAACGCATAATCCGATAGTTCACAATGAGGCTTGTTGGTCATTTGGTAAACACAGATACAAAAATATTCAATAAATGATATTGCCATCCCTCACGAATATGATAGTAGAATGGTATTGCTGATTTTAAAAAAATAAGATATGCAGTCAAAGGAGAATATAAGGGGAATACCGAAATAATCGATTTTGCATATTCATAATGTATACAGGGTTATCCAAATTAAGTGTCCACCATTGGTAACTTTGTTATTAGTAAAAATACAAAGTTGTTTAAATTAGCAAACTAGTAGCATTTTTAACGCTGGTAAAAATGAGAAATAAAAAAAACAATTGAGAGTCGTTATTTTGATTTTTTTCAGTAAAATAACATTTTTTTAAATGGAAACCCCTGTATATTATATTTTTTTCTGTTAAAGCATCAAATTTTAAACAAAAAAGTTCATAATGACTTTTCCGCTAAAGTCAAAAATAAAGTCAAAATAACGATAAATATTTTTAATTATTTGCAGTATTATAATATTAAGACGGCTATGAAAACAACATGGCGTTCACGATTTGACAGCATTAAGATAAGCGACAAATTGTTAAACTGGACATACTCGCAACTAGAAGGCTTTGGAAAACAATGATAAAATCAAATAATGTCAAACATTAGTGTAAATACTTGTTTATAAGCTTTATTGTGTCATTAATTTAAAGAAAAATGTTCTCCCATGAAGAAAAGTGTGATATGTTAGAATGCTATTTAGTGTGCAGAAAATCCTCCTTGAGAGCAAGAGAATACTACAGTGAATTATATCCCGCTCGCATTCAACCGTATGAACGATATTTTCTGAGACTTTATCGAAAATTTAGGGGCAACGAAAATGTTTTTGCTAAAACAAGGGCAAAAAAAGAATTCATAATAAGCGAGGCCACGGAAATTGCGGTTATTGGATATTTTGAGGCTTATCGTGAGAATTCAATAGCAGATATTCTCAAGGACTCTAATTTCAGTTATGGTACTGTTCAAAGGATTTTAAAAAAATACAAATTTATTCCGTATAAGTACCGACCAGTTCAAACGCTTTTGGCAGGGGATCCAGAGAGAAGACTTGTTTTTTGCCATTGGTATCTTAGCTTCTGTCGCCAAAATGTAAATAACTTTCGTTACCTTTTATGGACAGATGAATCAAATTTTTCAAATTCTGGAATGTTTAATAGAAAAAACCACCATTATTGGTCAAGAGAAAATCTTTTGTTAGTACATCCAAGAGGCCCACAAGTCCGTTTCAGTTTCAACGTTTGGTGCGGTATAATTGGTTCAAAAATTGTTGGCCCGTTCTTTTATGAGGGAACCCTAACTGGTGAAAGATATGTGGAATTTATGTCAGAAATTCTGACTAATTTCTTAGACGAATTGGATCTTATAAGTAGACATCATCTGCATTTTCAGCAAGATGGCGCACCTGCCCACAACTCCAGAGGTACTTATCATTTTCTAAGTACTACTTTTAATGATCAGTGGATAGGAACAAATGGCCCAATACAGTGGCCTCCCAGATCACCAGATCTAAACCCACTTGATTACTTCTTGTGGGGTTACTTAAAGAACCAAATTTACAAGCGAAGGTACGATAACCTTGACGCGTTAAAGACTGCAGTTAGGGAAAAGATAACCCAGATAGATGGTAGGACCATACTTAAGACAGTTCGAGCATTTGAAAAACGTGCCCAAAAATGTATTGAAGAACAAGGTGGTGTTTTCGAGCATCTTCTTTAAAAAAATTGTTATTGTATTTTGTAAGATTATAAGTTGATGTTGAAAATAAAGTTTGTCGATACAATTTAATTGTTTCAGATTGGAGGCCATAACTTCAACAATTTGTAACCTAGGAGAAAAGTTATTGTAAGCTTTTTTGTTTAAAATTTGATGCTTTAACAGAAAAAAATATAATATACAGGGGTTTCCATTTAAAAAAATGTTATTTTACTGAAAAAAATCAAAATAACGACTCTCAATTGTTTTTTTTATTTCTCATTTTTACCAGCGTTAAAAATGCTACTAGTTTGCTAATTCAAACAACTTTGTATTTTCACTAATAACAAAGTTACTAATGGTGGACACTTAATTTGGATAACCCTGTATAGTGTATAGAAGCGTAAACACATTTCAGTATACTCTGTTACTGATCGGCAACTATGTACTTCTTTCGCCTTCCTTATATAAGATTCATTTGATATTATAGAGAATTTACATAATGTAGACAGAGATATTCAGGATTCTAATCGAATTCGAGAAATTCTACAACACATTTATTTTTTTAATATCACGTGGAAATATATTGTCATTTATCAGTCTGCAAGTTCAACAATTTTCATGTAATTAAACTTCCTTCATAGTAGACTAGAGGATAGCAGCATGATTTAATTGGAATCAATTTTGTTCTGAGTATGAATATTTATATCCCAATTAGATAAGCATCTTAGATACTATGCATACTTAGATATGGAAGTGGACAGTAGAGGAAACGACCCCCATATTACGTAATTTAAAAAGCCACATCGATTTTTTACATTATGTAGGTTTTTTGACATTATGTAGGTATCCTAGGTCCTACCGTCAACTAGCTGTCATTCACTCCTTGCTTACTTGTAGTAGGCGCTGAATGAACTAGCGGCACACTAGCGGCTAGTGCACAGGTTGACATTTTACCGATTTGTTTTGACATTACATAGGTTCTTTACGTAATAACCCTTTTAAAGCAGTTGTCATACACATAAAGTAGCGGATGAAGGTGTTTGTCACCACCGATTAACGGTTTTTAAATTCCAAATGACCAACAATATTATCAACAATTTTGTAGCATTCTGGGGTTCAAAATTGTGTCTTAATATGTATACAGTGATTTTCTTAATGTCCCCTTTCCGTGTATTTTTTGAGCGGATCTAATTTAGGATCATGACAATTGATGCTATATTATGCTATATTTCAGCATGGAAGTGACAGTTTAAGATTTGTTTAATTGAAGGTGAGTCATGAAATACATCATTTTGAAGCTCCTTGTGTATACTTTGTCAGTAGTCCATAAACACAAAAGGCCCTCCTCAGCTCAATAGTCCGCAATTTGGGAAGATAGGCTCATAAGATAGTAATGAGCTTCAAAATGATGAATTACATGACCCCCTTTCTATTGAAAAAAGTACCTGACAAAGTGTTACTATAGTAATTTTGCATGCAGCCTAGATAGGAAGAGATTCGGCGAAATGAGAAAAAAACCCCTAAAACCTGGCGCTTGACTGAGGGCGCAGTGATCGAAGATCAACATGGAAACCACCACTGGTACCCGAGGCGTCAAGTTTCGGGGCCGTTTTTACAGCATTGCCTAGTTTCTCCTGATATAAGGGTGATTCACAAGTTGTGACCAAAAATGAAACATCATATACAGAACCGCATTTTAAGGGGGTCTTCCATGTAACATTTTTCCCTGGAGGGCTTCATTAAAAAGATACGGGGTATTGAAGTTTGAAAATAAAAAACAATTTTTTTAATATCTTCAGAACCGTCAACTTGAATGAACTTAAACTTGGTATGTGGATTTACCTAAGTATTGTCCACATTCAAAAGCCTTTACTTAAAATTAAGCACCAGTGGCGGAGATACAGGGGACTATTGGCTTTATTTTTCCAAATAAAAATAGTACGCAACTGTTTTTTTTTTCGAAACCGGCAATTTTTCGAATTTTACCTTCAATTTTCCTAGAGCGCACTGTTTCCGTAAAAATAAAAATAAAACAAATTAGATCATTCATGAAGAGCCGAGATACAGGTTCAAAATAAACTAGGAGGTCTTGATACCAATTTGACGTTTCTTGGAAGATAGTTTGTCAAAGTTATTTGTTATTGTTACCACTACGATTTTTTTTGTAAAAGTCAAGTAAAAAGTTTCTAGATTTCCTAATAGACGCCAATCTACCCCATAGGGTTTTACGCGTTCATTTCTAAGACTTCGGCCATATGGAATTGTCCCGGAGTTAGAGACCATGGTGTCCGGCATATTGTTCAAGGGGAACTGGAAGTGACTAATTTGGCGCTGGATGATCCTGGTACAAGTACTAGGCGGACTGCAGCCCAGTTATCATGTTCTCAAAGTCTTGCGTGGAGAATTTTAAATCGGGAAGTCTTGCATTCTTACCATCGGCGAAATGTGCAATGCCTGCAACCCGACGACGATGTGCAACGACGAAATTTTTGTGAGTGTTTACTGCAAAGATTTTATTGATTTGACTTAGTGGTCAGATGAATCGCTTTGTACTAGGAGTAGAACTTTTAATTCTCATAATGAACATATGTGGTCGTTAGAAAATTCCCGTTCTGTAAGAATCCACTCGTTTCAACACAGATTTTCTAGACATATCTGGTGCGGTATTTTCTTTCTTTCAACTTTTAAATGCAAACTCCTACTTAGCTTTTTTACAGAATTACATAGAACACGTGCTGGATGATGTTCCGTTAGCAACGAGAGTACGAATGTGGTATCAACATGACTGTGCCCCACCGCATGTTCGTCGTGACATAACCGCATGGTTAAATAATACTTTTCGACAGCCAGGGAATTGGCAGACACGGACCCATACATTTTCCTGCGAGGCCTCCTGATTTGAACCCCCTGGATTTCTTTTTGTGGGATGCTTTTAAACAACTAGTGTATGCTAAACAAATTAATACTGTTGAACAGTTACAAGAAAGGATAGATAATGCGTTTCATCAAATTCAAGCCTCAACAAATTTTGCGGAAATACGTTTCTTTATTAAAAAGATGCCGCACTTGAATCCGTAATAATGGTGGTCTTTTTGAACATTTATTGAAGTAAAGCCTTGATTATCTAGTTTGCTTTTAACTTTTACGAAAACAATGCACTCTAGGGAAAAAAAGGAGAGTTATTATTTGTAGCAAATTGAAGGTAAAATTCGAAAAATTGCGCGTTTAGAAAAAAACAGTGGCGTACTATTTTTATTTGGAAAAATAATGCCACTAATCCCCTGTATCTCCGTCACTGGTGCACACTAATTTTGAATGTCGACAATATTTAGGTAAATCCACATACCAAATTTTAGTTCATTCCAGTTGACGGTATTAAAAAAATGTTTTTTATTTTCAAACTCGAGGAAAAAATGTTACATAGAAGACTTAAAATGCGGTCCTGTGTATCATGTTGCATTTTTGGTCACGACTTGTGAATCACCCTGTATAGGCTCCATGGAAATTATGCATCAACTTCATCCTCCTGATTTCTAACTTGCTAACCTATCAAAAGAGGTGACATTCAAGAAAAAAATCTGCAAAATACATGGTGCTAGTTAATGTTAGGAGATAATTAGAAGGGCGCATTGCTGAACCAAATTCAAACAAAGGTTCATTTAAACATGCCTTGAAAAGTCTGGTTTCCAAGATACAAGGTGTCAAATATTGAAAAAATGTTTTTTGACAAAGCAAAAATGATAGAAAACTGTCACGAAAAGTCGAAAACAACAGAACAGTATTTCATACCAAAGATCAAAGTTGATTTGATCTTATTTTAATAATTTTCGACATGTAATGAAGTTGTTTCTATTGTTTTCCTCGAAAACAAAGTGACATACGGAAAGATACCAAGAGACAAAGAAGTTATACCATTAGCTACTTAATCTGAAAAATATAGAGTTTCTACAGAAGTAGAAGCATACACACTTTTTGTCAATATCTTTCATGGAACTTCCTCTCGAGACGGCAATGGAATTCATAATTATCCTTTAGTTGTGCTAACTTAATGACCTATTGAAAAGAACGATACTGCCAAAATTCAACATACTAGGCACAAGGGGCTTTCATTTATTAAAGGCCAATTTTTTATTGAAGCTTTGACATCCTTCATCTTGAGAACCAGACTTTTTAGGATACATGTTGATTTGAAGTTTTCTACTGACATTTGTTATAGAAATGCGCCTTTGTAATTACGGCCTATCATTAAGTAGTATCCTATATATGAGAACTACTCATACCTAAATTTCGATCTTTACAAACCTGAAAAATTTTATGAAAGAAGTTGCACAATACCAGTTATCATAACCGTATTTACGCTACATTTTGAGTTCAAAGTAGACTTCATATTTGCGCCCTGTATTTGAAGGTGGACCTGTCTGGCATTCGGACTGCGTAGGTGTATCTTTTAGTTAGGATCAGCTGCACGGCGTAATAGATGCCAGATCCTCGTTGGAGACAGGACTACCTATATCTATAACTACGTCAGTCGGATCACCTCTGTGGAGTTGTGACGTTGCACCAGAACTGGCGCCCTCCTCCTCTGTTTGTTGCAGCTGGGGCAGTGACACCGGAGAAGACGTCACAGCGCACGCTTCTTCCTGCGTCGGGCTATGACCAACGCTAGGTGGCGCTGAAACGGATGGCAATGTCGGAGCCACCGTTGATGGTTGACCTTCCAGCCAGCTGCGCACGTGCCACTGACGTTCTGGCAATGAGCAATTTGATTTGTAAAAAGAATACAACACTATTTGTTTTAATGATACAAATTGATAGGCGGTGTAAAACTGATGTTATACTGTAAACTGGCTGCGATTAACTTGCAGATAAATTTAAAAAAGGATGTTACACTATTTTATCAAAACCGATGACATTCAGTTCAAAAAATAATATCTGATTGTTCAATAGTTGGTCTCAAGACTTGTAAGTTTCCTGGTTTGTTACGGGAGACCTTCGAGAATCCCCAAAGATAGAATTTTTGTATACCGAAGCTGCCGCGTAGGTAGAAGCCTAAATTCCAGGGCACCGCGGCTGCTATGAGGCGCTTAAAGAAACTTTGTTAATCCGATTTTTGAACTCCCTAAAGTTAGTATAACTGGGAAGATCTTCCTAAGGGATATTCTAGCGATAAAAGAGCGGTCGTATCGAACCAGTTCTGGATGTACGAAGTTAGACACCATTAGGACGTGAGGCCGAAGTCAGGAGGGTCTGTCTGGCAGGCACATCGCGCAGGGGCATTATGTCTTGAAAAGCCATCGATCAGTCGTACAGCCCTGCCCTGAAGAGCATCGAGCATTGATAATTTGGTCGGGGTAGCAGCACCCCAAACATATCAGCCATACCCGAGAGTAGGCCCTATCTGGAGGAAGATAAGAGGTCATGTGGAGAAAAATACTTCTTAGCCCTAAACAAATAACCTAAGTTTTTCCCAGCTGCTGTCGTTATTCGTGCCAGATCAAATCCTCTGAGATCTGGAAGCATTAAACTGTACCAGAATGTTGCATCTCCAGGTCTCTCATCATAGAGAAAATTTCTTATAATCTTGGCTCATCGGCAGAGGTCGGCTTGCCACTCTGCATGTAGAGTGCTGTCATCAGTAAAGCTGTGGACTCTATTGTTCGTACAGGATAGTAGGTCGTTGATATGATATGTAAAGCCGCGTACAGACCGAAAATCCAATCCCGAGCAAACGAATGCAAGCACATGATGTGACGTTGGCGTTTTTGTTGTTGGAAGGTATTGGAATGCGCTCGTCTGCACCTAAATGTAGTTTCAAGTTTCAAGTTGGACCGCGTTGGGTTAAGTTCGGTGCTACTGTCGAGCGACGAGGACGATTTACTGCTGGCTCATCGAATGCAGACAAACGACTAAATACTAGAAGCGCAACAAATCCTGTCCAGACCAAATCAAACCTCCCTTTGATGTACCGATCAAGGAGCGAACGCAATCGAACGCCAACGCGGACCTTGAAAACCGTTGGTTTATGTTGGGTCGCGCCGTACACCGATTCGAACAGCTCCAAATCTGTAACCATATATTCCTTGGCTTGCGTTGGAATCTCGGTCTGTACGCGGCTTAAGAACAATGTCGGAGCCGAGACTGATCCCTGGGAAACATCCGCGTTGGCGTTGTGGGATGAAGAGGAGAACCATTCAGTTACGACAGATATCTTGCTGCCAGAGAGGAAGGCAGTCACCCATCTGCAAAGCTTCTCTGGGAGGCCATAGGATGGAAGTTTTCATAAGTGGGCAGCGTGCCACAGCTGAGCGAACGCTTTCGTGATATCAAGAACAACGACACTAGTCACTTTATGACTGAATTAGTATACCTCAGTTGAGTGACGTGAGCTTAGAGGTCCCCCGTGAATCGCTGGTACCGGAAACAATACTGCCTGTTGCAAATCAAGGTTTGAGGTACTCCAGAAGCTCCAGATTTATGCACCTCTTCGTCACTTTACTTACAACAGAAATCAGTGCTATAAATTTGTAGCTGTAAGGGTCGGTCTTAAGTCCTTTTTTTGAGATGGGCTGGAATGAGCAAATTTCGAGATTTCTGGGAGGTCAATTCTCGCCTAGAAGCTTTGTTGATGTCGAGCGACAAGAGCCTCACGTTTACTCACGTATAAAACCCTTTGAATGGACGGCGCTCTTGCGTCGGGCGTCCATGGTGGAAATGGCATCAAAGATCGTGGCAAGCATTTCCGGCATAGAATTTGAGTCGGGTCCATCCTGGCACGTAAGCGGCAGAAGGCTACTCGTTGATAAGTTCCCTTCAGTCTGCTTGGCCAACGTGCAGAGAGACCGACTGCCATTACTATGTGCCTAATTGTGATATCGTACTGGTTTTTAACCCCTTCGTTATATTTGTTTCTGGATTCGGCTTGTTTGTCTTCTACAGAGGGGTTTTGTGAGAAGGTTTTGTGCTACTTGATCTGCTGCTGACGAGTAGTGAGGCAAGATTCGTTGAAGCAGCCGCTGGATCATGGTTTGGGCACTTTAGAGCATCAACGTTGCTGTTAGTCCTTAGATGTTTGTGACGGAGATTTTATAATCGATGTTGTTTCCTCGAGCCCACCCTCTACCCTGATATTCAGGACGTAAGTCCGGAATCATTAGAACTAGAAAGAAGAAAACCGATTACATAGCTTAGGCTTGGAAACATGCGGATATTTTTAAGCCACTCTGAAAAAAGAGAGATCGACTGGTCCTTGTCTACCACCTTCTTTTGCTTGCGATTGATGTTAAGTATACCTAAAGTGGCCCATCGGTGGACTTGCAACCGCCACCTGGCAATCGGTACTGAGATATACCCTAAGGCGTGTACAATCACTTGAACGGGACGAAGCTGTATACTAAATGAAACTTTCGGAACAAGCATTTGGGGGTAGGATGAAAGAAATTTGGCGCAGTTAGATCTGCTGATCAGACATGCCGGTTCAAATCACAAAATCGGTGGATTAAACGGCCCAGAAATTAATTTTTCAACTCAGGAGATGGATGCCTCATCCATAGCATTTTTCAACTTGATGTCATCAAATATACACATTGAAATGAGCTGTTCGTGAAACAGTGTCCACTTTGTTCCATTTACAAGTTAATAGCACCAAAGTGACATGCGGTTTTAAATTTCAAAGTTTCCTCAATTGTTTTGAATTGACCAACAGAACCTCTTATATACCAAAACTCAATAGACATAAGAAGGAATCCTTCCACGAACCATGCCAGGACGCCATCCTTAGTTTTGCTAAAAACTCACGCAATTTCTGACTATTCTTGAACAAGGAATTCTGGCAATGTTCTAGAACAGAGAGGCAGTTTAAGACTTGCTGAGAACGCAGTTGGATTGCTGGATTCTTGAAGACGAGGGAGTTGAATCACTGACCTTTATTCTTGAAAACGATGGAGAAGAACCATTGAAAGTGGCAGGGGCTTTCTTCCATGAGGAATTATCCCAAACCTTAACAAATAAGTTTGTAAATACATCCATTTTCGGTAACATATTTTCCTGATAATATTAAATGTTCGTTCGCTCATAAAGCTAACTTTATCTTTAGAGATGAGACTGATGGACGACGGAGAAACTTACGTACCTTTTCTCATGAGAATGACTCGGGGTGTGGCTATTCTATTACTGTTCAGGAATACAGTCTACCGAAAAGCAGAGAACCACCTCTAGTTTCTCTTAGTTGTTCTTCCTTTTTTCAAGAATTAATGACACGAAGAAAAAGTAAGCTAAGCGTAATTCTCCTCCCTGGTGAATGATTCCAAATTCTGACAGTTGTTGGTATTTGTCAAATAAGGTTTTGAATGCATCCATTTTTGGCAAAATATGTTCGCCTTTGGAGATGAGATGGATGACGGTGAGACTTCCGCACCTTTTATCCCGAAAATGACTCGGAGGGACACTTCTATCAGTGTTCAGTTCCTCGATACGTAAGAAAATCACGCCCACATCCATTTATTGTACTCGTTTCAAGAATTAATCACTGCTGTTATAACGTATAATAGTAAATAACAATCGCATCACTCGATTTAGCTGTCCGTTTTACCTCTGTCTTGGTCCCTGTGGTGTACTGTGTGTATCGGTATCGTATCGTTCATGGGTGAAATCGCCCTCAAGCGCTGTTCACCCAACTCGTGCTCCAACTCTTCCTCCTCATTGTACTCTTCGCTTTCCCGATGCACAAGTACCTGCACCACCTGCGCTTCGGTGTTCTGTCTGCTGAGCGGGGGCCGGCTGACTGTGGTAGTACCGGTTCCGCCAAAAGTTCCGGCGCTCTCCGGTGACGCTTCTGTCACTAAAATGTTAATGTCTGGAGGTGGACCACTACCTGAACATCGCTCTGACTGAGTGCGTTGGACCGTTGCACCGCTACCTTGGGACACCTGCCAAAGACACCTCGAGATTAAAATCTATAGATGTACATAATCTGACATTAGAACATTGATGTTAGGATGAAATAATAATATATGGAATAGGATGATTAAAAAACTAGTAAACACAAAAAAAATAACACATTTTCCTTCAAATTTCCTCGTAACTTCGAAATCGAGAATAAATATATCTTTGAAGTGAACATAGATAAGCAGCATAAACAAAAATTATAAAGGAAATTCCACATTAAATTTCTCCTCTGAGAAATTGTTCTAAGGGACACGTTGGTTTGAATATTTGAAGTACAAGCACCATTTGAATATTATAAATACCAACGTCGTAAAAATGCTCATAAATAGAGTGGTTGGGCAACCTCAAACACCGCATACGTTAGGGGTACCGATAACCTCATTTGACATTTACCTCATTAAAATCATTGACTTAAAAGTCAAAAAAACTTTGTATTAATTTGCCTCATATCTGAGAACACAACCCCTTCCATATAAAAATCGTTTATGTAGTATATTAGGCAAGTAATGGCATCTAGCCACAACGAAATTTGAAAAATATTCTCCATTAATGCTAAGACGGGCGCAAAAATTTGAACTGCATTGGAACTATTTGTTATTTTTTGATGTATTAAAAATATTGCCATTACCTTTTACCATATAACTTAATGATGAGCTCCTTTACATTTTTTTTTCATTGAATGAATGAACACATACGAGTATAAAGCTGAACTCTAGGGGATACTTTTAACAGATATATATATATAACTTGAGATGTGGTCATTGTCGTCTAGACCAGTTAGGTGAAAAATTAAAGCTTCCGCCTTTTGTTGGGCACTTCGACAAAAATTTAAGCAAAGAGGACTCTTTATACTTTTGTGTTCTCTCTAGCTTTCAATGGACTTTGCCATCATCATCAGGAGCTGCAATTACATTGATAACAGTAGCAACAATAATGTAAAATGAATTTAAATTGACTTAACTTACAGTAGTATGTGAGGATGTTGCTAATTGTTTACGTTCATATATATATATATATACATGGTGACTTTGAAGTTGAGTCATTAATTTTCAGATAATGATTGTAGAAGGAAGATAAACCAAAATATGTGTGTAAAAATAAAAAAAAATTATAAAAAAAATTTTACCTTGTTTTATAAAGTATGCTCCCGACAAGTATTTCAGTGCGGACCTGTATTTGATCGTGAGGTCTTGGAGTACCGGCATGCCGAAACCTGATTCACGAGCCCGTTGTACTACATTAACAAAGGCACGAGGGGTATATATACAGGGTGACTTCGAAGTTGAGTCATTTATTTTAACAGTGAGTAGATCTGATCAAAAGAAATGTTTTTTTCCTTTACCATTTTTCTGGTAAAATTAAAGTAACAAAGTTATAGCCCTTTGGAAGTTTAAGTACCGCCCTGTCTCAATAATAATATCATGTACTCGTGTTTGGCAACAACGGATATAATCCGCCTTACCGGTTCATCGCATCGGAAACAAAAAAGCGAAAGAATTTGGAACGATGTTTTTGTAATTAAGTATTTTATTCAGTTCAGTTATACATACATTCAGTGTCTGTCGGTTAGCGTGTGAATAGTTTCTGTTGCGTGGCTCAAACGAAATAAAAAATGGCACATGTTTATGCGGATCGGTTTCGAAATCGAGTGCAACCAACCCCTCGTGCCTTTGTTAATGTAGTACAACGGGCTCGTGAATCAGGTGACTTAAGACCTCACAGGGGACCTCACGATCAAATACAGGTCCGCACTGAAATACTTGTCGGGAGGATACTTTATAAAACAAGGTAAAAATTTTTTTTTACTTTTTTTTTTATTTTTACACACATATTCTGGTTTATCTTCCTTCTACAATCATTATCTGAAAATTAATGACTCAACTTCAAAGTCACCCTGTATATATATATATATACAGGGTGTTCTAGTTTATTGTTGCATAACTTTAAGATTCGATAGAACTTTTAAAATTAATGCATAAAGTCTATATAAACATGGGTCGAAAAATCCGTTGCTTCCGAAATACAGGGTGTTTAAATTTACTTTCTAAAATAGTTTTTTTTTTAAATATTTCGAACAATATTTGATGTATAACAGTGAAAATTGGTATACAAGGGTTTTTTGGTAACGACAAAACGAACCATGTTTTGCATAGTTTTACTGTAGCCGCTAGAGGGCGCTCTCTACTGTACCTGTAGTGTATTAAAATGACCAGAAATTTTTTCTTAGTGCAATTTTTTGCTTTTTGAATAAAAATACTGATTCTTCGCACTTTTCAACATAAAAAAGCATTCCTGTGAGTTTTCGTTATAGTTAGCCGTTTTTGAGGTATTTCGATTTTTAAGGTTCGATGCATTCTTAATTATTTATGGGAAAATAATATTTTTTTTACATTTTCGATTTGGGCATTACAAGTAATTAAGATGATCGTTTAGATTGTGTTTTTTAACACAGCAATAATTTCTAACTCCAAATAAACACAAAAAACAGAATATTAATTTGTTTAATTTTCCAATATTATTTTTAACAACTTAAATTAATTATTTACAACTAAAATGCTATTGGATAGTTAGGACAAACATACAAAATCTAAAGTAGTTGCTCGAAATGTAAACCCAATTGTTCAATACACAATTCACATCTACGAATGATCGAACGTGGTATAGCATTATTCAAATAAGGCCTTATTTCAAAAGTAGTTGCTCGAAATATAAACCCAATTGTTCAATACACGATTTACATCTACGAATGATCGAACGTGGTATAGCATTATTCAAATAAGGCCTTATTTCAACACATGCATTCCTGATTCTGTCTATTAGCATATCTCTTGTGGTTACGGGAGTCTGGCACACTTTTTATTTTAGAAATACCCACACAAAGAAATCTAATGGATTTAGGTCAGGGGATCATTCTGGATAATTTTCGTCCAGCCAGTTTCTAACTATTCTCGAATAATGAGCTGGACAACCATCAAGCTGAAACCAGGCCAATCTTCTTAAATCTAACTGTAGTGTATTGACTAGATAAAGTGTTGCTTGGTTGTCTCAGGCGCCTACTTCACTGGGCAGTCGAAAACCGACACTCGAACGGAGCGGTTGTGCGAAGGACGATTGTACAGGTGTTGTGGCGTTGGTGAGCCGTAAAACACTCCGAGAAGCTGGACATTACATGTGGCGACGAGGAAAATAGTAAGTACACATTAGTGAGCAAAAACAAATGGGAAAAAATGGCGATACGGTGCAGTAAACAAATGAATACTTATGAATTCAGCTAGGTTAAACTACGAGTACCTACATTAAATGTAAGATGTTTTGTAATACCTACCTACGTAGTGGGAGAAATATGTTGTATTATGCTTGTATTTTAGTCATGTACCTAGTTGTTTACAAAAATAGCAAGGTTTAAAGACAACCGGTGACCGTTAGATCGGTAGGTACCAAAACTAACGCAGATTAAATTGGATCTGTTTCCCTAAATTGATTAAAACTATGTTGTCGTGATTAATAGGTACTGATAAATAGAAGGGAGTATCTACTCAAAGCAGTTGGAAGCGAACTGATCATTAAATTGATATCATAAACAAAAGCCTTACAATAAAATTATTATTGTATGAGGTTCGTAGGTACTAAATTAGCAGATTAAATTAAAATCTGATAATTAAATTTATACGTTTGCCGGTATGGGCGGCTTAAGTAGATTTATGCGGATAAAACTATAATCCGATCATTAAATTGATATGAGATGGAAGCATCTAAGATAAAATCTAACTACAGATACATAGATATCTGAATCATTAAATTGATTATTCCAGGTCGCCCAAAGATGTCACACCTTTCACTAGAAAAGTTTGAGTGTAACGGGGAATCTACCTCAGTGGGTGCACGATGGGAGCGATGGAAGCGAGCACTATTCATCTACCTCGAAGCGGCTAATATTGACAGAGACATCAAGAAAAGGGCCTCTCTTCTACATTTCGGCGGGCTAGACCTGCAGGAAGTATTCTATAACATTCCTGGGGCCAACGTGGAACCAGCCGAAGGCGTAGACGTTTTTGAAATAGCGATATCAAAACTTGATGCGTACTTTGCACCAAGACAAAGCAAAGTGTTCGAGAGACACACTTTCAGGCTCCTTAAACAAGAACCTGACGAAAAATTCGAAAAATTTGTCTTGCGATTGAGGAAACAAGCCGACAAATGCCAGTTTGCCGACAGGGAAGGGAACATTATTGACCAGATAACAGAAAAATGTTTCCTACCTGAACTGAGGAAAAAGATACTAAAAATTGGAGATGACATTACATTAGAGCAAGTAATCACCGAAGCAAATACGCTTGAAGTTGTTAATAAACAATTGGAAGAGTTCAAAAACCCACTTAGATCAAATGAGAATCAAGAAGTAAACAGGATGGATAGTAAATTTAAAAGGAACTTTGATAAATCAAGGAATGTTCAACATGGATGCGGTCGATGTGGTAATCCTAGACATGCTGGGAATGATGCAAGATGCCCAGCAAGGGACAAAGAATGCCTAAAGTGTGGTCTTAAGGGGCATTTCAGACAATACTGCCGAACGAAACAGACATTGGAGCGGAGAGTGGATAGGGAGTATAGACATGAACAAAAGAAAGGTCGTTTTGACAGGGAGAAGAATGAAGTTAACGAAGTGGGTGACTCTTCTAACAACACAGCACATAAAGAGGGAGAAACTGAGTATGTTTTCCACATTGATGACGATCTGGAAATTAAGTGCACTATTGGAGGAGTACAAACTAAGATGTTGATTGATTCGGGCTGCAAGCAGAATTTGATTACGGAAAGAACTTGGGAAAAATTAAAGAAGAACAAAGTTAATGTGTATAATCAACTTCCAAATCCCGATGTTAGATTTATGGCTTATGGTAGCTCTACACCACTGAAGATAAAAGGATCATTCGAGGCTCAGATTAAAGTAGGACTAAGATCCGAAAACTCAACTTTC